TATGCTACAAAAAGACGTCTTCAACAGAGATGTAATGAGTATACAATTATTGACAGACGTCGCCACCGGTCTGCCCCGCGGTAACATTCAGATCGTCTACGTTATCGTTTCTACAGTGTATTAACCGTTAGTAATACATCGTCACTGAGCTCCTGGTGCGGGACCTGGGGAAACAATAATACTGTCGATGTCGCAGAGTGCTGAAGGCAGCATTGAGCCTTCGTACCCTGTTTGTGCTTTAAATAAAGTAACTTCTGTGCAACTGGCACAATTCACATACTTCGCTGAAAAGTGCGGTGAAAAAAAGTGCGGTGAAAAGTGCTGATTGGCAGCAGCGGCAGCGCACTGAGCAACTGACCGAGATTACCGTATAATTTACTGCAGTTACTTCGGCCGATGCCCGATCGTCCAAGCTTGCTTCCCGAAGTGCTGCTTCATCGCCGGACGCCCTGATTGCTGCCACGGACTACCTTGCTCGTGGCGCCTTCGGAGACTGCGCAGCTCTAACTGCGGCTGCGTTTTCGGTGATATCACCACTGGGCGGCTCTGGAATCGTCAAGCAACGCTATAAAGGACCGGCACTGTCGACGGGATGTCATTGGCAGCAGCGGCAGCGCACTGAGCAACTGACCGAGATTACCGTATAATTTACTGCAGGTTGGTTTTCACGCCATTTGCGATTCTTTCGTTTCTCATTTGCTGTCGCTGCTGCCGTTGTTTGCATTTTGAGCTTGTATGAGTGTCTTCTAACTGTGTCCAAAATGCCAACGAATGCTGAACTGGCAAAGAGATTAGAGGAACTCGAGGAGAAGCTGAAAAACCGAGGTTTTAGTGGAGTCGGTGTTCGCAAGGATTCTGTTAAAGCTAAATCATTCTGGTTTCGATGTGGTGCAAATGAAGAAAGAAGTTGATGACCTTGTTGTTAGTGCAAAATTCACGGAAAAAATTGTTGAGGAATTAAGGCAAGACAACGCTGCCTTGATGGCCGAAAACAAATCACTGAAGTCTGAAAACCGCATGATGTCTAAGAAACTAGCTGAAATCGAACAATATTCACGGCTCAACAACGTCGAGATCAGAGGCGTACCGTGCACACAAGGGGAGGACTGTGTCGCGATCTTGCAAACGGTGGGTGAAAAGATCGGTTGCCCGGTGTCACCATCTGACCTTGACGTCGTTCACCGTGTTCCTACAGCAAAGGAATGCAACAAAAACCTTCTTGCGCGATTTTGTTCAAGAGATAAGAAGACTGAATTCATAAGCAAGGCCCGACAAGCTAAGCTCTGCCTGAGGGACATCAAAATAACACAGACACCTGACAATCCCGTGTACGTAAATGAGCATTTGACCCCTGCGAACAAGGCTCTCTTTTCTAAGGCTTTGGCTTTAAAGAAAGAGAAAAAATGGATGTTTTTGTGGACAACAAACTGCCAAATCAAAGCTCGCAAGACAACCGACAGTAAAGTATACAGGATACGCGATGAGGCTGATCTGGCTAAAATAAACTAATTGGCTCCCATTGTACTTAATGCGCATGCGCCAGCCATGCCTTCCTCGTCGGCTCTTCTGTCACCTGTGCAACTAAACTCGTTTTTTAGGGAGTAACTCCCGCTCTTTTATTCATTTTAATGCCAGAAGCCTACGAAAGCATGTTGATGAATTTCAAAGTCTTCTTTCCACGTTTACCAACCCTTTCTCAGTAATTGCAGTTACAGAAACTTGGTTATCAGAAGACGATAGAAATCTGTTCGGTTTCCCTTCCTATACGTCATATTACAGTCACAGGTTATCAAGTAATCATGGTGGCGCAGCCACATACGTATCTTCTAACGCTTCCTGTAAACGAAGGTTTGATCTCGAATTAAACACGCTCTCCTGTGAATCGGTCTGGCTTGAGTTTGAGCATACTTTTCTTAATATAGATAACAAAAGATTCATATTAGGCTGTATATACCGCTCACCGTCTTCTCCAGTTACTGAATTTGCACAAACTTGCAACGCTCCCTAAATGTTATTTACCTTGAAAATAAAAATGCTATTATCATGGGTGACATAAACATTAATTTACTAGACAATTTGTCACCTAACTCAATCAACTATCTAGCTGCACTAAACAGCTTCGGGTATGAATCTTTAATCAGTCTTCCAACTAGACCAAACAGCATTAGCAATGGGTCCCTCATTGATCATGCATTTTCAAATCTACTCACGGCACCAGACGCTGGAGTGCTAGAAATTAATATTACTGACCACTATCCCATATTTCTGCGTTTCGATTCCACTGCAAAACGTGATTCACCTTCCTTTATTCGTGATATATTGGACAAGCAGAAATATATTGATACCGTTGCTAACACTAACTGGTCTGAAGTTTATCTTAAAGATGATGCACAAGAAGCTTTCACCCTCTTTTCATCTTTGCTCCTATCACATGTTCAATCTTGTACAGATAAGCAAAAATGCAAAAAAATAATCGCATCACCAGCAAATCCCTGGCTGACGGGGGGATTACTAACAAAAATGCGCAAACGTGACAACCTCTACAAAAAAACTAAAAGGCAACCGTTTAATACGAATTTGCTTGTTCGCTATAAAAAATTTTGCAACCTAATAAACACCCAGCTTAAGGAAGCTAAAAGAAAGTATTATGCGCAAAAGATAACTGAGGCCGGAAATAGTACGAGAAAAAAATGGGACATCATTAATTCCTTTTTAAATAGGAACCCACGTTCGGAAAAAATAGCTACAGTTCTTCATAATGATGTCACTTATAGTGATCCAGCTGACATCGCCGATCAGTTTGCAAACTTCTTCTTTAACGTCGAGCACACCCTACCTTTATTAAATGAAATGGCCTTAGATCGCTTACCCCATTCGTTCTTTCTGTTTCCCACAACTCCAGATGAAATAATTAGCGTTATAGGTGCCCTAAAAATGACGAGTGCTGGCCTTGACGGCATTCACCCCTCCCATGTAAAAATGGTAGTTCACCTTATATCAAATGTATTCTCTTCAATTGTGAATTTAATGTTTAGAACAGGTGTTTTCCCGCATGAACTGAAGCAGGGTAAAATAATCCCCGTACATAAAAAAGGAGATGCTTCGTTATTGAATAACTACCGCCCCATTTGCATCTTACCCTTTTTGAGCAAAGTAATTGAAAAACTGATCTGTACACGTCTCACAAATTACCTAAACAAATTTAATATACTATCACCTTGTCAATTTGGCTTTCGTTCTGGCTACTCCAGTGACCTTGCGCTAATCTCACTTACTGACCAATTAAAAAAGGCTATTGACAACGGTTACTATGCGGGCGGTGTTTTCATCGACCTAACTAAAGCCTTTGATTCAATCAATCATCACATTCTTTTCAATAAACTTGAAGCATTTGGTATAACTGGCCCAACATTACTATTATTGCGTAGTTATCTCTGCAACAGGACACAGAAGGTGGTAATTCTAATGCATATTCTTCAACCAAATTAACTAATATTGGTGTACCCCAGGGGTCCATTCTGGGGCCCCTTTTGTTTTTACTTTATATTAACGATTTGCCGAAAAGCCTTTCTTCATCCAGTTGTATATTATACGCCGACGACACCACAATTTTTAACTCTGATAGCAGTATTACATCCTTAACTGGAAAACTAAACTTTGATCTGGCACAGCTCAATCGGTGGTGCAGTAATAACATGTTAGAAATTAACACATCTAAGACAAAATTTGTTGTCTTCTCTTCACCACAAAAACCCTTGCCTTCTATCCCTCCTGTTATAATTGCGCGCAATGACATCCCTGTGAGCGACGGCTGTAGATTCCTAGGCGTTGAACTCGACAATAACTTGAAATATCACCGACATGTTCATATATTAGGAAAAAAATGACGTATGGCATTCGACTACTGATTAAATCTCGTCTTTATTTCAATCCATCAATCCTTATGTCACTGTATTTTTCTTTTGTTCATTCGCACATTTCTTACTGTATTACTTCATGGGGCAACACATACACCACTCATCTTACTTCAGTTCAGACAATTCAAAACCAAGCGATAAGAATTCTCACATCAAGCCCATATCTCTCTAACAGCTCAAGCATACACGCAAAGCTAGAAAATTTGGGCTGGATAAAACTTGTTTTAAGGAATTGAATGAAACGTAACAATAAATTATTCAAACACTTCCTGATAAACAAAAACACGAAGAACAGCTGAAATGTTGCAAAGCCCAATGAAATCAAGACGGCTACGCTACAAAAAGACGTCTTCAACAGAGATGTAATGAGCGTACAGTTATTGACAGACGTCGCCACCGGTCTGCCCCGCGGTAACATTCAGATCGTCTACGTTATTGTTTCTACAGTGTATTAACCGTTAGTAATACATCGTCACTGAGCGCCTGGTGCGGGACCTGGGGAAACGATAATACTGTCGATGTCGCAGAGTACTGAAGGCAGCGTTGAGCCTTCATACCCTGTTTGTGATCGAAATAAAGTAACTTCTATGCAACGGGCGCAATTCACATACTTCGCTCAAAAGCGCGGTGAAAGCTCTGGCGAGTATTCATCCAAGAAAGCAAGCCATAGCATGCGGTTAGCGGCGATCAAGTCAGCCCGTACGCATGCATATACGTAATATGAGCATAAGCTTGCTTTCTTCGTTAGTTGTCACCCCATCATTGCCTTGTGTTGTGCTTTATGTTCTAAAAAATAAGTTTTGAAGGCACTTGAGCAGAAGTTGTGAATCATATGTGGTGTCGAACCGTCGCAAGCCACACCGCAAGCGACAAATACGAGACATGCTGTTTGTCATGAATTGCTGCAGCACGGCAAATAAATAAAATTAGTTCTGCATAATACCTGAAATATTATTCCTATTTAAAGAAAATAATTGAGGGCCAATTGTTTTTTAATTGTAAAAAAAAACCCAAAAAAACCGAAACTATTTTAACTTGGACGCCAGGGGACGCCACGCTGGCAGTCAAACATGGCTGCTTCCACCCGGTAATCAAAAAACGCATGTGCGTGCTCAGTAGCGTGTCAAATTAATTTGCTTAGGCTCTCAGGCAGTATTTACTAAGCTGAGGGACCATGGCTAAGCGCAGGAAGATCAAAAATACTAAAAAGGCGCCCAGAAATGTTGGCAATGGCTCCGTCACCGAAGACGGAGACGTTTCCGACGCCGTCGAGCAGCCGTCACAGAGTGCCGAAGAGACCTCGGAGGAAGCAGGTCGGACGGCAGACGAAGCGATCCTCGTAGTCGACAACGACTGCGCCACCGAGGACGAGAAGGACTTGGACACGCCCGATCATTCGCTAGTCGTTCAGCAAACCGTGGTGAAGAAGCGGAACCGCGCGGACCTATCAGACAGCGAAATCAAGCAAAACGCCGCACTGATTGTTGAAGACAGGAAAAGCGTCAACCTCCTCATCGACATCGTGTATTCCCTGTCGGCAGACTCGGAGGACGTCGTCGTCGCCGCCCTACAGGCGTGCAACAAGGTTTTCTGCCACTTCCTCAAGACAAGCACGGCGCTCTACGAGAGCGACGGTGCGGTAAAACCAGCTGAATCGCAAAATGCCCTCGAGAAGTTCAATGCTTGGCTTCGGCAGCGGTACGCCGAGGCGTGGCGTCGTGTCATCGCGATGCTGTCGGACGCCTCCTCACGGAAGCAGAGCCTGGCGCTCCAAGTCGCCATGAAGTGGATCGAGGTGGAGACGGTGCATAGGAAGGAAGGAGAACACCACGTACCCAGCGCAAAAGTTGCCGCGGTTGTCGAGACGTTGTTGGACGCCGAGCGAGACATGAAGAACGTCATCTCCAAGTTCAATCAGTTCCTCGACCTCGCCGACGTTAAGACGTACGCGCTTCGGGCACTTGGTAAGGTAGCCCGGGCGTGGAGGAGGGTGGACTCGGAGGCGGGTACTATGCAAGATGGCGACGAGGACAAGGCGACGTCCAAAGAAGACGTGAAGAAAGAAGAGTCGGTGCAGACGACCACCGCGAAGCAGCCGGAAATGACCGACCGGTACTTGTCGAACCTCTATCACTTGCTCCTTGGTTTCGATATGACCGCAGAACAACACAAGGCCGGAGAGCCCATTCCCGTGTTGGGAGGGGAAAGCACCAACTACATTGTCAACCGCGAACAAGAGGTCAAGCGCCTGTCGGCCGTCTGGATCACCTTCCTGCGCCAGAAGCTCCCTGTAAAGCTGTACCGCGAGCTACTCATCTTGCTGCCCGAAAAAGTGGTGCCTTATATGCACAACCCGCTTCTGGTCACCGACTTCTTCATTGAGTCGTACAACCGTGGCGGTTCCTACAGCCTCTTGGCCCTCAACGGGCTCTTCCTGCTCATCCACCGCTACCACCTGGACTACCCCAACTTCTATGAGAAGCTGTATGCCCTGCTGGAGCCGGGCGTCTTCTACGAGAAGTACCGTGCCCGCTTCTTCTTCCTCACTGACCTGTTCCTCTCGTCATCTCATCTGCCGGCTTACCTGGTCGCCTCGTTCGCCAAGAGGTTGGCCCGCATGGCCCTCCAGGCGCCCCCTTATGCCCTCCTCTACGTCATTCCATTCATAGGCAACCTTCTGATTAGGCACCGCAGCCTGGCAACGATGATCAACGACTCATCAGACCGGGACGTCTCCGTCGACCCATATGACATTGAGCAGGAGAACCCGAGCAAGTCGCAGGCCGCCGACAGCTCCCTCTGGGAGCTGAAGACTCTTCAGAGCCACTGGCATCCAACAGTAGCAAAGAAGGCTAAGTTCATTGACAACAACTTGCCACGGATGGAGTGGGACTTCTCTGAAAGGCTCGAGGAAGGGTACGCAGAAATGATGAAGCGCGCAAAATCTGCTAAGCACAAGGAAGCGCCGACCAATTTCCACAAGGTTGAGGGACTTTTGAAGCAAAAGGAAGAGCTTCTAAGTGATCTGTGGACCTTGGAGTGAAGCGATTCCTCTTGCTTGCCCATGGTTGGCTCAAGAGAGAGACACATTCATTAATAATAAAAAAAGTGATTCTTCTTCTGAAGCTCCATTGGCTATAGTGGCTCGCCAGGCCTGGCCTCGGGTCGCCAGTTGGCCTTCCAGAGTTCACTCAGTAAGTTGTGCCTCCAGCGACTAAGTGTATATTGGTCGCTATGTCCAATGTCGATTGTAGCGAGTCGCTCTGGACAGCTGAGGTTATGTGTGCGAGTGTTGAAACATCTTTCTGCCATGGGTGTATGTTGGGATATCTCTATGGGTACATGATGTAAAACTCGTGAAAATTTGGAAACGTGTTGGTCTGCAGGTGGCTGCGGTCCCAGGCTTTGCTTGAAGGAAGCTATTTCTTTGCGAGCTCATGACTGCGTTGACACGGTGCATGTGCTCAACATACCTTCATTCGTCTCCTTAAAAATGTGTCAGGCCTGCAAATCATTGGTGTGCCTTTTCATCCTGCATTGCATCAATGTAGAGAACATTGTTGAGTTTAACAGTTCATGCTTGTCAAATAGGGCTGCACCGTGGATTACAGAGTGATTAAATTACAGAATTACAGAAAGAAGTGATAAATTACGAGACATGCTTGTATACTTCTCCAAGCTCCAGTTCCACATCTCGATGGCGGCTGCATGGTAGAGGCCCACGTACTGCACGATGTCAGTGCACGTAAAAGACCAGATGGTTGGAATTCCCTGAGCCTTTCAATATGGCATTTGTCACAATGGACGTAAAACTTCGAATATCATTTCTATAGCTGTATAGTCTGCTGCTCCATAGTGATAGCATATGTCAAGTTCTATATAGGAACTGAATATGTGAGTGACAGCACAGTTGGACTTTCTTGCTCCCTAATGGCCATCTATGACTGACCTCAGACTACTACTGTCGCATTACAACAGTCTCCTATGAGAGTACTCAAGCTTTGCAGTGAAGCAAGGAGACTACAGTAATGATATACGCAGCTTCACTATTATCACTGGTTCTTACTCATTTGGCATACAAAGCAGGCCTGCAGTGCTATGTAGTTTCTTCATTTACGATTGGGTTGCTAACGAAGTCATGATCACAAACAAGCAGAGATGTTTCAGAGCTTGTATGGGTCCCTTGGTCTTAACGCATATGAACGAGAGATGCATACACACTCCGCTAGTTAAATTTTTATTTGGTTGGTGTTGACTATTCTATTGCACTGTTACCTAACGAGGCAAATTTTTTTTAATCCTCCAGCATTCCTGAATTCGTTGTAGCATTCCGAATACAAACTGCTGCCAGTTGAAGTTTTCATAAGCAATACAGTCAAGATGTGAACACCTCTCGGGCATAACAGAATTGAGAAGCAAGTTTGTAATAGAAGCTAAATTTTCAGGTGTATTGAATGTCTGAGACAGCTAAGGAACTGAGCTTCCACGCACAAACTTGGAAAGCCTGAGCACAGGAACTTGAAGGCAGAGCTCTATTCTGTTCAGAAGGCAAAGGTCTAACTTGTTCTAAGTTATTTTCTTTTAATACTTGGGCTTTTAGAGATGTCGGCAGTCATTTTGTACTTGGCCTTTTCATGGCACAGTGCAGTTCATCATTATAAATTAAAGAGCATTGAACTATAAACAGGCTTCAAATGCACGTTTGGCAAGCTAAAGCAAGAAATCAATAATAGTGCCACACTTAAATTCTCGCACTTTTTGTCTTTACTGAGCTTTCCCCAAAATTACTTGTAACTATTTTGGAGAGCACTAAAATATTCGCTATTTTAAATACAGCCTGCATAGTTTTTCCTAAGTGAGCCTATGCTCAGGTAAAAGCTTCATCATTTGAGATTGTTGAACATTGCTTTCATTCCGATGCATAGGGTTCTAGTCTCGCAGGAGAGATAGGCACGAAGAGAAAGGTTTTCCGAATTACTTTTGCTGTAAGAAAGCCAAAGTTGTAGTACCACACATCAGTTACCGAGAGATTGCATAGGGTCAATAACTGATAGCTTCATTACTTGTATCGTCTCGATTTAATAGCAGCCAATTGTTGACGTTTGGCCTTTCTTCTCTGTCCTTGTATCAGAAATGCGAAGTTCTGCAGTACCGTGACTTCCCTTGAACTAACTCTCCACTGTACTACATGGGTGCCGGCTGAGATGCTGTTCCTTCAATTGGTCTCCTTCACGCTGTTCCCTCAAAGCTTCAATTTGTGTGGCAGCTCATCTAAGACACGAAGAAGAATGTGCCTCCTTATTATAGGCTAATTTCGGGCCACACAGAACAGACAAACTTGAAATGAAGTAAACAATCAGTTTTATTGCTGAAAAAGGAGAACACACATATACATGTACCGAGGTTAGCTCTAAAGCACATGTATCATGGATGTAGATACACGTGTGCGTGCTTGTTCACCAATAAAAAAACGCCAGGCCTGCGCGGAAGACGCAGCGAAAGCTAGAAGAGCGGCCTTTCTGAGCCTTTTCAGAACACTCATTGGGTAACTACAGCAAGCACACTTGCTTGATACCCACTAAAACATTAATATTAAAATCTTTTGGGTAGTAGGCCGGCATTTGCTATGCAATTTTTTGTCAGTATTCTGAGAAGCGTGGTATCCACTAAGCACTTGCAAGGAATTTCGTGCCAATCGTTCATGCAGTGGCTGATGACGATGAGGAATTATGGTTGAAGTGGGTATGCACCACAGTTAATAGGGGAACAAATGCAAGGTTTTGTAATTGGTTGTAGCATTGGATGGCCCACTCGTTACGCTAATGGAATTGAGCGACGACTGGTTGTTCTTTCGCTGTTTCAAAACGCTTTATAAGTTGTATTAACGCAATTGCTTTCCTGAGATCAAGTTTGCCAAGAAGTCTCAAGCGCCAGTGTAGCTCAGTCGCATCCAGAAGACCCGGGTTTCGAACCCCCTGTGTCTTTGGTGCTAGGTTTTTTTTTATTTTCTAATTTCGAGCGATGTGGTTACGGACAGCAGAAACGGACAACTGCGCCTGACCCTAGTTGTGATCTCATAACAGCTTTCGCTGTAAAAGGAGTTGTGAGCGAGTCTGTGCTTGTTTGTCAAATTCTTTTCGTCTGTTCTGTGCATGCTGAAATCATCTGATATAGAATTTCTAATGATCATAATACCTGGGCTTGGATATGCGAAAACAGCGTTATGATTACGAGAGATGCCGTAGTGGAGAAGTCTGGAAATTTAGGCTATCTGGTGTTCTGTGACGTGCACCAACATCGCACAGTACACCGACCTCTACCATTTCGCCTCCATCGAAATGCGACCACGGCCTCGATCAAATTCGTGAGGTATTGATATCCCACCAGCTCCCCCAGTTTTCATTACTTTTACGTTGTGTTGTTACCCAAGATGAAAACAAAGAAAGGCAACGGACACATACTCCGAGGCCATTTGCTATATGGCCGTTAGCACCACGTTTTCGTCTCATTAAAGTGTTTCATCATTCACGTCCATGATATCCTTATTTGTTCGTGCAAGATCACCATACTTTGCATTGACTGTGTACCAACCGACCCAATTTGCAAATACTACATTCATTCCTCAGTTAGTAATCAGGCATCCATTGCCGCACTACAAGCACCTAAACATGCTTGTACAATAAGGTAGCTTTGACTGGACTGCCACGAATGCTGTAAGCTAGCCCGTAGCCAGGAATTGTTTTCAGGGTGGGAGAGGGGGACTTGTTGAAGGCCTTAAAAATGGCTGTTCTTATTGTGTCCACGGTATAACACCCCTTCCCGAGAATTTTGGGGAGGGAGACCGGGCCCATAGGGCACCCTTCCTAGCTACGGGCCTGTCTTTAGACTATAAAAAGACACACTAGGACACCATTTTTAGGACACTGGAATGCAACCTGGGCGATACAACGTCACTGGCGACAACTCATGATTACACTCTGCTGCACGCAGTTTGAACGACTTCAATATGACATTTCAAACTCTACAGAACCTTTTTAGGACTCGCTGTGCTTATGTGATGCTTAAAATAGACAATCTGATATTTAGAGGTTGCTGTTCAGTAATGTGGGGATTAGCACTACAAACTCGGCAACCTCACACATTTTTGGTATCAGGTTGTTCATTGAGTACAACTTTTGAAGACTGTGGCATTTCTTCCTCAAAGGCAGACTAGTACAAGACTGCGACAATGTGATGTCTCGGCCAGTGAGTCTGCTGCCTAAGTATGTAGCCGAGAACGAGCGCGGGACTGTTCGTTCAGTTGCCGAGCCAATCAGCGGTTGCACTTCGTTCATTTGGATGAGGCCTCACCAGCCTTCGTCAGTTGTATGCGACTATAAAATCGTAATTGACAACACAGATCATATAGCTCTTCCCTTCAGTACCCATTCAAAGAGGCGTCAATGTATTTTCAAAATTGCTTCTTGCATGCTAGGTAATGACAGACACAATCGATTGGTGCCTGAAGAAAGGGTTTAGGCTGTAAACCTGGCAGTAGGCATTTACGGGACACGAGGCATGCGAAAAATCTGGACTCCTGTTTGACCTGCGAGCACCGCAGATCAGACAATTAGAGGTTTCAGCTGGTAGAAAGATGTGCTCACCACCAAGATTATTCATTTATTTAGACTTCTTCTGCATAACTAGATCACAGATTCATTTTCTGTGTCCCGTGAGTTTTCATAACTAGATTTACTGTGCTTGCGGAATGAAATGCGATGGCAAGACTTTAGATACAACTTGCGTGCACATTTTATAGATAACCATGTCTTGTTGCCACGAGCCTGGATGATAAAGGTGATCTGGGATCTGGTGCAAGTGTGAAAGCCAATATCGCGCTGATGTGACACAGACTGAAATGTGAAAACAAAGGTACACGAATTACTTGACCCAACAAGAAGTGTACATTTAAGGGCTCGTTTTCTTTGTTAGGTACAATATTAACGAGATCTAACAGACTATCATGGCAATGAAAGTATAGGGGATGTTATTAGAAGTAATTGTAATGTAAATTTGAAGAAAGAAAAGTGGACTAAAAGATAACTTGCCACGAGCAGGGATCTAACCTGCGGCCGGTAGGGCATCGAACGCGTTATGCGAAGGTCGCAGGTTCGGTCTTTGCCCACGGCAAGTTATCTTTCTCTCCACTTTTGTTTATTCACACATACTACCGGTCGCAGGTTCGGTACACTTTTATTTCTTCACACTTGCATAACAAAAACTTCTAACAACATCCCCTATAATTTCGTAGGCATGATTGCCTGTTACATCTCATTAACCCAACAAGGGAACATTTCACTTCGTGTACACTCTCAATGCGAGAAATGAAGAGACAAAGAAAAATAAATATTCTTTTATTTGCCTAAGTCCGTTGAAGTAATAGAAGGCATAAAGCCCACATATAAAATAATTTTTTCCCCAACTGATGCCAATATGGCTGCTTTGAAGCGGAAAAAGTAAGGCAATGATAGTGATGAATGCATCAATGAGGGCAGTGGTCATGGCAGTAAAACACGACACGAAATGAAAGAGTTGTGCGGTTTTGTTGTCTAGAGTGATAACTCTCAGACGCGTCTGCTTCGCTTCTGGCTTGGCACAGTTTTGTTCGTGGACACCCAGCCTTCCTGCGGCTCGGCCACTAACCGGTACAGGTTTTGCGTCTCGGCTTCTAACTGCTCCTTGAAGTCGCGCCGCATTCGCTCCAGCACCTGAGATGAGATGAACGAAAAAGCCATAATGAAACTCGCTGCACTCGACAGTTTACGTCCCACCGCAGTTTTTATTTTTTAATTTTTTTTTTTTCAGATGACAACCAAAGAAAACATGGTTGACAACTACACCAGACAATCACGGCAAGTGAAAAGTGCCGCTCACAGTGAGAACATACACCCATGATGGCAGTGTGCCCGTTACGAAACTCATACAAACAGTGGAACCACGTTTCTCTCTAGGTCGTATCCCCAGAGACTACAGAAGAGACGAACTTTTGAGGCACGCTCGATTTCACTTACCCTGCTCTGAGCTGCCGCTCGCTGCTTCATCTCGACCTTCTCCTTGGCCAACGACTCTGTGAGCAGAGAGAGCTGCGTCTGGTAGCTGCAGGAGTGCGTGGCATCACAAGTCAAGGAGGAAGTCAAAGGGGGTGACACGTGGAAATCCCCTAACAATGGCCGTGCCCAACAAGTACCTCAAGTAAGGTTGCAACAATCTGCAGGGGAGTCGTCGTTCTTTCTCCTTGAAGCCAACAAAGACACGACAAAAATTTTTTTCCAGTGCCACAGCAATGACAATATGAAATCGGTGCCAGTGAAGTTACTATAAAAACCAGAATATATGTCGACCCCCTAAACTTTGAATCCCCGAAAAAGAAATCTTTAAGAATTGTAAAGTATCACGCCGCACCCTCCTCTTGGTAAATGTACGACACAACCAGCTGCACAGAGGTGATACTTTTTATTTGGACACCAATTTTATGTAGTGAAACGCCAGAAGGCCAAAAGCTGCTATGGCTCAGACTCGTCCAAACTTGATTCCGATGACGTCTGTTTTTCGCTAGTAATGTCCCAGAGTGCATTGTCCTGTGTTCCATCTAATGCGTTACTGATGAAGCATTTGTGGAAAGACAGAAGCAGCCTCAGTGCAAAGCTCTTCCGCACCGTAAATTGGCGCACCCACAATGGCGATGCCTTGAACTGCACCCTCGTGAGCCCAGAGTCGCGCGCTATCTCGAGAGCTTTCATGCGAATGCACTCCGCTGTTACAGGTAGCAACTTTGCACGTATCTCCCAGACAAATTCAGCGTGTAGCGTTTCCAGTTCAGGGTGCACTGTAGTCCGCCCACGAAACTGTTTTCTTTTTTGTTGCTGCGGGATGTGATGCACTGCTTTTGGCTCCCCCGGTATCGGACGCTTTTCTCCAATGCACCGAATTTCCATTGTGCTGCCAGGTTGCCGTGCACTTCGGCATACTCGATAACTTTTTTTCTTAAAGCTTATCGTAAACTGCCATTGACTACCACTCACTTCTGAAGGAAATAGAAAAAAAACAGCAGACTGACAGCAGATAACCCAGGCAAAATGACGTCGCTAGAACACTGTAGGCCTTATCTAGCTTTTCCCAACGGCGCCACTCCTGATGCTCACGATGGCGATGGTGGCTTTCAACTTCAGCTGCCTATTGTTGAGAGACTTCCACATTTTTTTTCTACCGATGACCAAAGTAAGACGACGTTCGACTTTTCATTGCGTTTTGTTTGTTAATTCGACCTATATGTCGATTTTTACGGTAGATTCCTCGGCACACATGCTGATGTGCATAACAACGCAGTGCTTTTGCACGTGCAACAACAATAATTTGGGGTATTTAACGTCCCAAAACTATAATACGATTATGACAGACGCCAAACATAGTAGTGTGCGACGTTCAACTCTGTACACCACAGTGTTCTTTCTTGGTCGGGCTCTTTGCAGTCGATGAACACTGTAAACTGTGTTGAATAACAAACACATAAAACAAGCACCAAGCAAATAAACACATCAATGCCCCAAGGATACAAGTTTTCGAGCGAAGCCAGGTACACCCGATGCCTGTCCTGCTCACGGACCTGTCGCTCACGCACGGCAGCTTTGATGTCAATGAGGTCCTGCTTCCGTGCACGAATGCTCTCCTTGAACTCTTCTTGTAGCATCTGCAAAGTATTGAGAAGAATGTGGCCAGCTAAGCAGATTCTGTTATCTTTGATTTGTAGTGGCAACAGCATTGCGTAAAAGATGAGACGCTCGCTCTTGCACGAAACAGGTGCCGCTGCCACGGACCTGCACGCACTAGCGTTCGAGTCAGTCATTAAAATACTTTTGATCACAGCAGTCGTGTTGGGCTTGCTCTCTGACTAGAAATGCAGAAATTTCGCCGGTCTGTGAAGTCGCACACCTCCACAGTTTGGTGACCCAGACGTGACTGTGGCCGTACGCTTCCATGGCAGAAGTGACCATGGAACAGACCAACGGTACAAGTTCTCGGAACCAGAACCTTCCCGAGCAACGTGGCGAGTTCAGCCATCCCTGTCCATTTCCTCAGTACTGGAACCAGCACCTGTCGGCATGGTTTCTTCAGGTGGAATCACAATATCAAGTTGCTAGTATCTGCTCCCAAGATAAGAAGTTACCAATAAAATGGCAAGATTGGCACGGCCACGTCTGCCGCCTTCACTACGTCTCATCTCTCTCACTACAGTTTCATGCTTTTTCATGGTCCTAGCCCTTGGTAGATTAGTGAAATAGTCAACAAACATTTAGTACACTGTCCCCACAAAGTGGAAGAGAAGGCAACTTGGAAGGAAAAACAACGCTGTTACAGGTAGCAACTTTGCACGTATCTCCCAGACAAATTCAGCGTGTAGCGTTTCCAGTTCAGGGTGCACTGTAGTCCGCCCACGAAACTGTTTTCTTTTTTGTTGCTGCGGGATGTGATGCACTGCTTTTGGCTCCTCCAGTATCGGACGCTTTTCTCCAATGCACCGAATTCCCATTGTGCTGCCAGGTTGCCGTGCACTTCGGCATACTCGATAACTTTTTTTCTTAAAGCTTATCGTAAACTGCCATTGACTACCACTCACTTCTGAAGGAAATAGAAAAAAAACAGCAGACTGACAGCAGATAACCCAGGCAAAACGGCGTTGCTAGAACACTGTAGGCCTTGTCTAGCCTTTCCCAACGGCGCCACTCCTGATGCTCACGATGGCAATGGTGTCTTTCAACTTCAGCTGCCCATTGTTGAGAGACTTCCACTTTTTTTTTCTGCCGATGACCGAAGTAAGACGACGTTCGACTTTTCATTGCGTTTTGTTTTTTTAATTCGACCTATATGTCGATTTTTACGGTAGATTCCTTGGCACACATGCTGATGTGCATAACAACGCAGTGCTTTTGCACATGCAATAACAATAATTTTGGGGGTATTTAACATCCCAAAACTATAATACGATTATGACAGACGCCAAACATAGTGGTGTGCGACGTTCAACTCTGTACACCACAGTGTTCTTTCTTGGTCGGAAATGTTGTAGGCCCATGTACTCAGATTTGGGTGCACGAGAACCCCAGGTGGTCAAAATTTCCGGAGCCCTCCACTACGGCGTCTCTAATAATCAAATGGTGGTTTTGGGACGTTAAACCCCACATACCGTATTTACACGATTGTAAGACGACCCTTTTTTTCAAATTTGACAATCCAATGTTGGGGGGTCGTCTTAGAATCGAAATCGAACCATGTACCTTAGAATCGAAATCGAAACATGTATTGTCATCTCGAATAGTCCGCTCAACCCAAAGCGCATAGTTTTCCGCGTGCTTATACAAAAGCTTTTCTTTTTTTAGCATCTACTGCGCGCATTACGAGTGCCTTTATGACGAGCGCACGGCTCTTGAGGGAGCACCGGTAATCGATGGAAGAGCCGCCGTAGGGGGGTATTGGTAGTTGACGGAAGAGCTCCTCTTTGTGATACAATTTCCTAAGCGGGCGCGTCGCCGCGTGCTCCTGTCGCTTGTGTCCACGACCGGCTCTCTCGAGTCACTTCTGTCTGACATGAGTGCCGTAGGCTCGAAGAACACTCGGGGCTCGTCAGGAAGCCGCGAACTTACGCCAAGCGGGCGTGTGAGGAGAGCCTCCCTGGCTACTGTGTGCGGGTGGGTCCTCTCCGCATGGGCGGCCGTCCCACGCGATGCCGTGGTGCGGTCGTTCGCGAAGTGTGAACTCACACTTGACGACGACGTGCTGTGGGACTGCAGCAGCAATGACGGCAGCAGCACCAGCGAGGACGACTGCAGCGACGATGAATAATCCTCCGCAACCACGTGAATAAATTTCCCTTGTGTAAAATGCGCGCGTTCTTTTTTTTTTTTTTTGAGATGCGATTTTGGGGGGATCGTCTTACAATCGTGTAAATACGGTATCAATCAATTAATCTTTCTTGGTCGGGCTCTTTGCAGTCGATGAACACTGTAAACTGTGTTGAATAACAAACACATAAAACAAACACCAAGCAAATAAACACATCAATGCACCAAGGATACAAGTTTTCGAGCGAAGCCAGGTACACACGATGCCTGTCCTGCTCGCGGACCTGTCGCTCACGCACGGCAGCTTTGATGTCGATGAGGTCCTGCTTCCGTGCACGAATGCTCTCCTTGAACTCTTCTTGTAGCATCTGCAAAGTAGTGAGAAGAATGTGGCAAGCTAAGCAGATTCTGTTATCTTTGATTTGTAGTGGCAACAGCATTGCGTAAAAGATGAGACGCTCGCTCTTGCACGAAACAGGTGCCGCTGCCACGGGCCTGCGCGCACTAGCGTTTGAGTCAGTCATTAAAATACTTTTGATCACAGCAGTCGTGTTGGGCTTGCTCTCTGACTAGAAATGCAGAAATTTCGCCGGTCTGTGAAGTCGCACACCTCCACAGTTTGGTGACCCAGACGTGACTGTGGCCGTACGCTTCCATGGCAGAAGTGACCATGGAACAGACCAACGGTACAAGTTCTCGGAACCAGAACCTTCCCGAGCAACGTGGCGAGTTCAGCCATCCCTGTCCATTTCCTCAGTACTGGAACCAGCACCTGTCGGCATGGTTTCTTCAGGTGGAATCACAATATCAAGTTGCTAGTATCTGCTCCCAAGATAAGAAGTTACCAATAAAATGGCAAGATTGGCACGGCCACGTCTGCCGCCTTCACTACGTCTCATCTCTCTCACTACAGTTTCATGCTTTTTCATGGTCCTAGCCCTTGGTAGATTAGTGAAATAGTCAACAAACATTTAGTACACTGTCCCCACAAAGTGGAAGAGAAGGCAACTTGGAAGGAAAAACAATACGGTGGCACGCTTTTGCACAAAGACACAGTGCGAAAATAGCAAATGAAGACACAGATACAAAAGAATGTTCAATAGTAAAGGGCTGAATTGGGAAAATTTGGCGCTAGTAGTGGAGATACATTAGTTTACAGCATGGACAACTTGTATCAAATTGGTGTAGTTTTGACTCGAACACTTAGATCAGAGCCAACATCACTTTTAGCAGCCAGATTTGCAGCGACATGGTGTGGTTATCACAAGCAATTTCTTGTAGCAGTCGTTATGCTAAAACAAAATGACTAAGTCAAATTTCACTTCATTGGTACTTTACAAGCACAAAGCATGCACATGATAGCGTTAAACTATTTCATTCTGTTTCCGTTTGATCACTAACAGCAATTTATCACTGGTCAAGGCCATATCCTTTGCATCACAAGAGTGAAGCAGAAGCAAAATACTCAGAAGAGCAGGAGACTCCCTCAATCCGAATATAAATAGATCCAATAGAAGATAGCTGATCAGTAATTATAGTTATATTTGTTACACATACCATAACTATAAAAAAGGTGAAAGCATTTGTTTTCGAATACTTCTAACCTATGCAGTAATCAGAAGGCCTCAGAGTCGGCCATGATTCAATCGGTGACCTGCCCAGCGTCTTGCATACCATCATCATAAGCGCAAGATAAAAACAAATGCAAACAGTTGGGCAGAGCACGCTGGTGCCGCACTGCTAGCATTTCTTTTTGTCATGCCAATACTTGGTGATGGGAAATTTTTGTGCATGATTATGCTTTACATGGCCATACAGCATCACCGTTCTTTTCTTTCCTTAAGACATTCTCAACCATTTCTCCTCAAGTTTCGTAGTGCAGGTATTGAGCATGTCTGACTTAATTTGTTGCAATCTCTGCGAAAATGTTCGTTCCGACATCGTGAATTTCAGTGGTTCTGGGCTGCTTCTTGATTGATGGCAAAATGGGGAGGGGGGGGGGGGCAAATACTTTTGACCAATAAACAATTTGGCAACAGCTCACAACAAAAGGAGAAAGAATGTGAAGCAGAGTTACACTATGCCACAATGATGCCTTCGTACGTTCATCAAGTGATACATATCCAAGTTTCCAAGAACAATAGCTAAACTGCAAGCACACAGCTGCTGAAGAAGCAGGCTGTGCACCTGAGAAACAGTGCAGCATAACTTGACTTTCACCAGCTATCTTCCTAAGCCTCGTTAGTGAGTGCATCAAATTCTTCATGCATTAGGGCAAACTAAGCTTTGTCACTGCACTGCCAAGCCTACCGCTGCAGTGGCTGAAACATTCCACTACTACGCTATACCAACACAGCACAGACCACAATGCCAACTGACCTGCTGCTGGCGGTGCTGATAGGAGAGGCGGCGAGAGCGCATAATCCGGCTGCGTTCGTCGTGGTGCCGCTTGAGCCGCGCAGCCTGTTGCCGCCGGTCCTTCTCCAGCGCATCGATGGCCTGGTGTAGCTGCCTTTGTGCGTCGAGCTCATTCTGCAAACAAAAAAAAAAAGGAATAATACGTTGGCTCACCTCAAGATGCATCTTTTTGCTCAAAGGCTAAGCTAGTGACGCAAAATGCTACACTACCCATGAATTTTCTGCTATATGAGTTTAATATATACCAGGAGTAATAAATGCGCTTTTGTACTACAATATTGCGTGGTAGTGATAGTAAAAAAAGGTGGCGCATACGCTGGTGGAGACATATCTTTTTATTAGGCAAACCCGTCCCCAAAAAGACTAAGTTAACTGGCAAGTTTGAGAAATGAACTCTGTACACTGACAGCAATGAATACAGCTATAAGTAATCTGATCATTGGCAAAAGACATCTTTTATACGTGAGTGATAAAAATTCCTGCTTTCTTGCTGGTGCTCATGTTATCTCCAGAATAAACTCAACTAATTGTGCCACACACGCAGCATTATCAAAACCATCTAAAAAGCAGCCACGAAGTATGGCAAACATTTCGAAATTTCAAAAACATTTCACAAACATTGCCGAGGTGCAAGCAATTTTTCGAGAGTGAAGTTTGATCACATAACAATGAAGAAATAAATGTGCATGGCAGTATTTTAGTGTTGCTAGTTACTGCTTCCTGTGCTTCTAAAATATTTAGAGCCCAAAAAACACCCCCAGCAAACCTTTACAGGAATGTGGGCCCAACTTCAGATTAGCCTTTCTGCTCTTTTCATGATGCTTGTAATCTAGCGGGTGACCTCATAGGTTGTAATAACTGCTACAGGCTAAAACATTTAATTGAAGGCCGTGCTTTCATACAGAGTGACTGGGGCGATAAGGGGAGTGGGAGGACAAGAAACAAAAGTTCTTTCTTCCCCTCCCTCTCGTCTTTCCTTCTCGTTGCTTTTCTTAGAGCAAACATAATCAAAACAAAATGCATGTGCATAAGTTGTCTTCCTGCCTACGCGACCTCACTTTTTGTAAGAGCTTCTCCAGAAAAGAAAATTCTGGTGACTGACCCTGCAGGTTCAGAATACAGTTTGTTCAAAAACTTCACAGCCTGTAAGCATTCACTGGAAGGTGAACGCACTTTCAATATTTTTTTTTAATTTTGACCAAGTTTGCCATTCCCACTGCCACATCCATCCTCAATTGAAGATTTTTAAGGGTGTACCATGCATACCATATAAAATGCGAGCAGTGGCAAGCATTGGCAGTGGTACAGTGCGCGCCCTCCAGTCCTGACAATAACCAGGCACGTGCATACAGTCTGGCAGCACTGCACGTATCTGTGCCTGTCTATGGTGATGACAGGAGGGTGTGCACTGCACCACTGCAAATGCTTGCCGCTGTTTGTTCCATTTGACATGTATAGTACATGCTAACAAAAAACAATGTACATATATTCAATCAAACTGCATTAATTTGAACTCTGTTATTTTGAAATGCCACTTAATCTTGTAGCGCCATCATCACCATCATCATTTCTTCATCACCGCGCCGCGCCTCTCGCGCAGCTGATGCTAGCTCGAGCTGCGCGAGTTTTAGAACGAGCTTCTGGCCTGGCGGTTTGGACGCTGGTAGTCGACGTGGCTCCGCTTCAGGCCTGCAATAAAGTGGCGAGATCGGCACGGCCCCATCGGCCGCCTTCGACGTCATCTCACGTCTCTCTTCTCTCGCCGCTACATTGGTGACCCGGAGAACACGCCCTTCGCCGAACGGCCCGCTGCCATGTTCCCGCAACTCTGCCCGCCAGTGCCACCGTTCCAATCGACCTACCCCAAGGTATGGTTTATGCAGCTCGACGCCGTTCTTGCGGTGAATCGCATCACGGACCAGCTGCTGATGCACGCCATTCTTCTCGACGCCCTCCCGGTAGAGTTGCGCCATCTCGCTGCCACTTCAAGCACCAGCCCGCAGCCTTACGATGCCCTCTGCACTGCGGTGCTCGCCCGCAGCGGCAACACATACCGTCCGCTTCCGTTTACCCGCACCAGGCAGGTTTCCCCGGCGTCACAGAGCAAGGTACGAACCGGTCCGCAGCCCTCCATTGACCGCTACCTCGGTACCCCGGCTTCGACTACTTCTACACCTGATCCGGTCGCAGAAACATCCACTCCTGCACCTGATCACGACCGCGAGGTAGAAGACTCCCCCACTGCGACTGACCTTCCCTCCGAGAGGTACATTCCCTCAGAGCCCCCGTGCAGAGCTTCATCACACGTACCTGCGACCTGCACGTTTTCTACGAAAGCGACGGCACGTGACACCGTGGCCCCACCAGACTCCATGACGACCTCGGCTGGGCCAGCTTACCTTCCTGCAGACTCCCCGCCTGTCCCGGCGCCTGTGGAGGCCCGCGGCACCACTCGCACTGTGGACCCAGAGCCCACTGTGACACTTCACGCCATCAGTTTCCCCTGCACACCGGTGCCTGCTGCTCAGGGCCTCGTGGACTGCCGGCGCCTACTGACATCATTCTCGATGTGTCCTGCGGGGGTTCAGGCCCCTGGGCATGCACGGCTGGACGTGCGTGATGCTGTGGCGATGTCAGGGGGTCCCGAGGGCCGCACGCCTGGCTCACCGCGGGTGGAGCACACCGTGCGTGCCCCAACGGATGCGCAGTTGGGCCATCCGCCTGCCACTGCGTGCGCGTGCTCGAGCATTTCGGCGCCGTCGACGACCCATGACGGCTGTGACGCCGCATGCCCGCCGCTCGGTCTCGCATCACCGGACGTCGGGTTTGGCTCGAACAGCGCGCAATTCATCGGCGTACGCCTACGCGTCGCGCGTCGTCAGAGGTCGAGAAAAGCAGTCTGTCAGTGCCCTCTGGGCCGGCTCGTTGTCACTGTAAACCATGTCGCACTTCGTCGGTCCAGAGCGCACCGTTTCAGACTTATCTGCACCCTGCTCGGCCGACCAGGCGGCCGCCGCGCCCGGTGATGTGCCACCGGAAGCGACGGTACCGGCACGGTGGGCGCACTGCCAGGGTTTACCGCACTCCCTGTCGTCGTCCCCACCAGCTCCAACGTGGAGGTAACGCTGGACCCTCTGAACTGGCCGTGCTGCGCTCATGCTGCAGTTCATTTTTTGAGCATCAGCGTCCAAGTGCGCGCGACAATCGGCCGCGCCGGGGCGGCCAGTGTGTGTTCTCGGCCCTTGGCCATTTTTCACCTTGTTGTTGGGGCTCGCTGTCGACAAGGGTGTCCCTTCATCACGACCCTCGCCCGCTCCTTCCAACAGCGTGTCGGCCTGGCCACCCTCGTCCGCTGCGCCATTCCCAGTGTCGCCCACCAGAGACCCACTGGTTCCCGATGGTCACTACACGTTGACAAACTGGACTTCCTAAACGGACACCTTGCGGATTGTCGTTCATGTATATAGTCTCTTTCTCTTTCTTTTTCACATGCCTTCAAATCGCGCAAAGCGCTAGGGGGGGAGCCCTGTAGCGCCATCATCACCATCATCATTTCTTCATCACCGCGCCGCGCCTCTCGCGCAGCTGATGCTAGCTCGAGCTGCGCGAGTTTTAGAACGAGCTTCTGGCCTGGCGGTTTGGACGCTGGTAGTCGACGTGGCTCCGCTTCAGGCCTGCAATAAAGTGGCGAGATCGGCACGGCCCCATCGGCCGCCTTTGACGTCATCTCACGTCTCTCTTCTCTCGCCGCTACAATCTAAAGGGATTCCAGTGGTCCCATGTTTTTCAAGGTAAGTATGAGTGGATAATTTGAAGCAGCCATCAGAAACTGCCCGGTTATTCTAAGAACATTTAGTGCCATGTGCCAATTCCAAATCATTTCTCTGCAAGTTCACGGAAACGACAGCCCTTAGAAGCCACAGGGCAATGCGATGAATCGATGTGAATGAGTGACAACAAATACTGCTGCCAGAGGGAAAAGAAAAAAGGGGTCCTTTAATTAACTAGAATGTGCACCTGTGGAAAAGACATGCTTCACTGCAATGCAGTAGTGAGCTTCTCACAAGATCAGCATGCAATGATTTACCCATTGTTCCTGGGAACATAAAAAAATTAATAAAGGACAGTCTAACAGGATTGCCTATGTATGCGTACCTCCGATTGGCGATTGGTCTAACAATTGGAGCACTTCCACTGCTGGCAGAGTTGTTGCCAGCAATGCCTACTTCAAAAACTCGATTTGAAAACCTCAAATGATCGTATTTTCCAGCGAAAATGCATCGCAAATTCTGTTACACTGGCCATTTTTTAGTTCTTTATTTTACCAGAAAGAATGGGCGAACGGTCGCATCATGACGCGCTGACGCTGCAATGAGCATGCGACATGCTGCCTGCGTGTCCCCGCTATGTTGCAGTGAAGGACATCTTCTTTTCCGCAGGACTTTTTTTTTTTTTGCTGGCAGCAGCTAGGCTTACTGCTCCCTTGTGTTAGCAACAAAATTGGAACCAAACATTACCCCTGGAGCCGGAAACTGGTCAGCACAGCAGACGCTCACCTCTGACCACTTTTAATGTTTCAAAGTTCCATGCATGCCATTCTTTGTCCATTTTGTCCATTCAAAAGCTCACTTGATTAAAAGATTTTTCAGAGTCCCAACTTTTGAATTAAAGATATTTTACAGCACTACTATTTTGTGCCGACAAACAACTGGGGTGTTTTCCTCACCAGGCGGCGGGAGCGTGCCAGGTCCCTCTGCAGTTGCTCCATCTTGCGTGCGTGCCTCTCTCGAAGCTCCTCGTACTTCCGCTGAAGCTGCTCAGCGTCGACAGCCACATCTGAAGCCGACGAGGACGCCTGGATGGCAAACCGCACGTGCTGCTCGTGCAAGCGCCGAAGCACGCGCTCGGCGTGCGGAGACATGCTGACGTCAGGTGATGACTCGTCTCCTGCGACATCCGTAAGCGGTCCACAGAATTTTCAGTCAACCATTGCAACACGACATCTACAGTGTTGGATCTAAATGTTTTACAGCCGAGCTGCAACCATCTGTGTTCCTGTTTTTGTGCTGCCATTGTGCAGATCAAAATGTTGCTGAATTAATTAGCTCATTAGTCTGGCAACATCCCTTCCTTCTGTGTATGGCTTGGAGGTTAGAGTACATGGCACTCCACTTTATTCTTTATTTATTCTTTATTCAATGCTTACCCCGCATTGCCCAAAGGCGTAACAGCAGGGGGGTTACAGAAACGACATAAACAATGCTTCATTCTTACAGCACACTTGCATGGCAGACAATTCATTACACCCTTTAACAGTTCTAACAAAAAATGAATTGGCCGTTCCCTGGGCCTTACATTTTATGAGGCTGTGTTGGCAAAAATTATGCCGTGAACGAGTTCGCAGCATTCGGCTCCACGAACATGGGTCATAAAAGGTGTACGAGAGCCTTCATGAGTGCGAAAGTATTGTAACCAAGAAGCAACGTTAGTGTACAGTGCATCGAAGGGTCTCTTTGCTAACACTAGTTCCGTCTTGGTTTACTTGGCATTCGAAGCTAGGAATGACACCCGCTGCAGCATGAATCGCTACCCATAAAATCTTGTACATGTTCTTAACATCCTTTAAGCTAACGCCACCAACGGTAAAGTTTGAAGCACGCATCTCTTAAAATGGGGTGATAAAGAAGTCAATAGCCACACACTTTTATAGACCCGAGAGCACGCGAAAAATGCTAAAGCCGCACATTTAAACTTTAATGTGTAATGTCCTTGGCGATTTTCGTTTGTTTGTTAATTGTACTTTCACTTGTGTTCCACACAAGTATGCTCCATTTCTTTGCTTCTCCATAATAAAAATAATGATGCTCTGAAGCATTATAATGCATGCATCAAGCCCCGCCGCGGTGGTCTAGTGGCTAAGGCACTCGGCTGCTGACCCGCAGGGCGCGGGTTCGATTCCCGGCTGCGGCGGCTGCATTTCCGATGGAGGCGGAAATGTTGTAGGCCCGTGTGCTCAGATTTGGGTGCACGTTAAAGAACCCCAGGTGGTCTAAATTTCCGGAGCCCTCCACTACGGCGTCTCTCATAATCATATAGTGGTTTTGGGACGTTAAACCCCACATATCAATGCATGCATCAAAATTTCCATGTGTAGTAAACATGCAACACTACAATTTATCTTCCTCACAAAGCATACTAACAACAATAATCAAATTTGCATCTATCACAACACTAGAAACTGGAAGAATTAGGGTAGGAGTCATCAAGATCCACATTTGACAATGTAGAGTTTATGTTGGTGTTGTTTAATGTTACTTCTAAATGGCACTGCAAGTATGCTCTAATCTGATGGTGTCACCAGTAATCTTATCATCTGTATATAGTATATATTTCAGTGCAATGAAATAGATGGTCAGTGCATATATATATACATATATATATATATATATATATATATATTAATGAGATCTAACAGACAGTAATGCCAAGGAATGTATAGGGGAAGTTATTAAAACCAATGGGATGTAAATAAGAAGAAAGAAAAGTGGGTGAAAAAATAACCAGCCGTCAGCAGGATTCGAATAACGCGTTCGAACGCGTTATTCGAAGGTCGTAGGTTCGAATCCTGCTCACGGCTGGTTATTTTTTCACCCACTTCTCTTTCTTCTTATTTACATTCTATTGGTTTTAATAACTTCCCCTATACATTGCTTGGCATTACTGTCTGTTAGATCTCATTAATTTTGTGTCAAAACACGGAAAAACGAGCCCTTAGCTATACACTTCTTTCCCTTATATATATGTATATATATGTATCTGTCTCTCTCTCTCTCTGTGTGTGTGTGCGTGTGTGTGTGTGTGCGTGTGTGTGTGCTTTTTGTGCAATGAAATAGGCCTTCGATCGGAGCAGACTGATGCCGACATAGAAGCATGCACAAACAGAAAAGATTTTTCTTAGCAACAGAATGAACTTAGCATCAGGAATGCCAGCTCCATACTGGTCTGCACAGCTGTTACATCAGGGGATACCCACACACACACAAAGTGTACAGCTCAGGTTGCGTGCAACCTTTTCCTCTGTGCTTTGGTGCAATAACTAGAGAAACATCTGCCACTGCAGTGAACGACAAATTTAGATTAGAACCAAGAGTGGTGTGTTCAGCTGGCCTTCGCTTGTACTACTACTATCCCTGCCTGACAGGCATTCAAATTCTGAGGTTACCCAAGCTTGGTAATGTTTCAAATTGATGAATTCAAAGGTCTGATAAACGGGACTGATTTGCTGGTCCCTGAGGTTTTCTTCGAAGGACAACAAACAAAAATAGAAAAAAAAATGATTTAAACATCTAAATTATACGTGGAAAATGCAAATGATTTGAAAAACAGTTTGCTAAGTATTTTGAACAGTTGGCTGCATATTTCGGAGAATGGGCAGCGTGAGTCGTGACGTCAAGGGTCACCGCGGTAGATGCAGGGTGCACATTTTCCTGCCCTGCTACTTCTATCCCCCTTCCACAAAGGCACTAAGATGTGCGTTGCTCTTCGGGGGCTCCGCTCAAGACCCTCTATACAAGAGTGTTGCTCTATGCCACCGGGTAGGCAGCACTATTCACTACCAGTGCCATTCGGAGTAGTTCTAGGAACCGTAGAGGGAGCTGAGTGGGTTGAGAGCCGCGGGTGACGGCTGGAACAGTTGGCAGGTCCATTTCCAGTGACGATAAACTCCACCTCTTCTAGGTCAGAATACAGCTGCTAGACGGGGTAGTTTGTGAAAAACTCGTGAAATTTATTATGTTCCGCTAGTTTCCGTCTAGAATGATGGTTGTGTTGAAGTTTTCAGCACCTGATCTGTCAGTATGGGTGAAAATTTCGGCGGCGAAAATTACGTCAGTATCTCTTCAGTGGGCGTTCACTGTATTGTAGGTCCCATTGCACGTACCGCTGAGGAAAGACGCCTGCAATGCCACTGGTGATGGCCATCATACCAGCATTATGAAATACCTGGCAGTTGCCTAAGCACTGTTACTTTTGCCAAGCCACATTATCCTTACATTGCCATACTTGCTTTACATGTGCAGACATGTAAAACTTGCACACACTTGCAACACCATCAAAGGGGCTCAGGCATCACTATAAATCTTGCTACTGCTGGCTATAGTAATTTCATTTTTTTAAATTTTACTCTATGGGCCTTCTTCAGAGCATTGCATTGGTGGCAGACCGATCTCCTCATTTTTTTAATCTGTTAGAATGTAATGTGTCAACAAAAAATTATGAAAACTTCTACACATGAATAAAACTGAAAAAGAGAAAAGAAAAACTGAAAATAGAACTGCTATAGTGACTTTACACAGAGCATTCACTGTTTGGCAACCAACCTCCGCCGGAAGACAATGCTTTGAAACAAAGGCACCGTCACTTCACGAGGTTGGCCCACAGTTAAAATCTAGCTGCCGCAGCCAAGAATCGAGCGAAACTTGCCACTCCATTCTTGAATACCACTACGAAGTAAGTGGCTCGAACACCATGCAGGGCTCTCGATTCAAAGCAGAGAACCTTCCGTGCTTCGATCGCAGGTCCCTTGCTCAGCATCTTGCCCCCTTCTTCATTCTCCTGGTGAAGATACCATACGAAATGGTATCAAGTGTACACAGAAACTCGCACTTATAAGACCTAACTTGGGAACTCCATAACATTCCCGATGAGGTATACTCTCGTTAAATGGAACCTTAAGGGACCAGGAGAATGTGTTTTGTTTGACAAGAGTAGTGTTTGTTGAGAGATGAACCGCTATTAGTACAAAACCAGTATTAGAAGCAGTTTCATTTAAGCAGCAGTTTCACTAAAAAGATACTGAGGCACATGCCTTTGGAAAGTGCCAGTTTCAGAACAAGAGAACTCACCCTCAGTTTCGGAACGAAGACGCTTCCTGGAGGCACCGCTGCTACCAGCCCGTTTGATGGCACGAGCAGAAGGCGAGAGCAGCACTGGATAAGGAAATGGCAAATAAAGCCAAGGAAAAAAAAAAAAAAAGAAGCCACAAGAACAGCAACAATTACTAACAGAGTAATGACAACAGAGTGACAGGTATCAGAACAAGACATCAAAACCTGAATGTATAGTGCCTCGTTATGTAACTTCTGCACTTTGTGTTCGTAATGATCATAGCTGGGGTTCAACGTCCCAAAGTCATGATACGATTATGAGACGTGCCGTAGTGGAGGGCTCCAGAAATTTCGACCACCTGGGTTTCATTAACGTGGACCTTAAATTAACGTGGACACAGGCCTGAAGAAGAATCGCCCCCATCGAAAACACAGCCACCGCAGTCGGGATTCGATCTCACGACTTTATTCTGTGTTGATGAAGAATATACATGAAACACATTTTTCTGGGTATCCCAAGACCTCCTCAAAAAGGGAGGGGGGCGTTCGAACGGGTGGGGATGCTTGCTAGGCATTATATGGTAATTTAAGTATTTTATTTTTCTATCTGGCGTCCTCACTGACATTAGTCACTGAAGAGACCCTTGAAGATCCTAAAACAGAACTAAATACGACATAGACAAGTAGACATCGAAAAATACGCCACAGCACTGTCCTTCAATTTTTGTTGTCTTTTCACGCAGCTTTTCAAATATTCAACAACAATTACCAACTAGCCAGTTGTCTATGCCCCTACACTAAAGGATGGCAGTGTTAATCATTAGGCCATTTGGCGGTAGTGGTAAAGGCCATTACGAAAACGTACCAGACTTCTTCACTGGACGTGGTCGCTTGCGTGGTGGCCTCTCGTCACCGGCAAGCTATAAAAGAAAAAAGAAATGTGGCTGCTCTCTCCTTCTAGAAATCAGCATAACACAAAAGAGAAACGTGTCTTTTATAATTTCTTATGAATTCCAGGGCGCTTGCTGCCTAATAATACTTGACTCGCGTGTTGTTGGGAGCCTCTATATCGATTGGCAGCGTTTTCTGACCATGCTCAAAAAGTGTTGCAGGGCCTTTTAAAACGTGCTTTTTAAACAAAAACACCGGACAAGTATACACAGGACAGGCAAGTATCCACAGGACAAGCGTGAACAACAGTCACAATCCTTACTTTTTCGTGTGCGAGCAGCGTGCTCCTTTGGTAAACGTGGCTGCGGCAGCGAGCGGAGTGACCTTTGTGCTCTCCTGAATTGAGAGTCTGATAAGCGGGCATGCAGGAGTGACCAAACTGCGTGGATGCAGCACTCATTGAAACGCGGAAGGCATAGAGGAGCGAGGCAACGACCTCCAGAGCACGCTCAAATGCCCCAACACCACACGAGCTCGTCGCGCCATCTCACTACTGATTAAAAAACGCACGGAAGTTGCGAATCTCTGAGGACTGCAAAACGATATATGGTGTAAATAAATTGCTTGCCGTTAACACTCTTGACAATGACGGTTTAGTGCTTATTGCCACGCGGTGCGGATCAAGAAGCCGCTGATTCGACGCCCCGCGACAGCTCCTTTCCTTTTTGCCAGCGGAGTCATGGTGGACCCAGGCAAACACTTACGTGTTAAAAGAAGGAAAACCTCATTGCAGAAAAATGCAACAGCAACTCAACTCGCCAAACGCACACAGGTTAAATATTTTATATTATCACACCGGTATTGACCGCACCGCACGTCACCACTTCAATAATAAACAAAAATTAGGTGACGGTATCCACAAGCCCACAAACCACTCTCCCGTAAAAACAACATTCCCGCCGTGCTGTTTGCGCCAAGAGAGCACGTGCCCAACGATGGTCACGTGCACAAAGTCGTTCCTGGAAAGCTGGTGCAAATAGTGCTTACTTTTTAGCTGCTTTCTGTCGACTGTGCACTTTTGATTTTTCTTTGCACTACTCAAAACTGCTCATGTAAAGTACTCACAGAATGAAATGGAAAAATTTAGAGCCGAGTAATGCGCGTACTTTCGTTTCCAGAGTGTACAGTTTGCGTCGAATCGACGCAATTTTTTCTCAAACACTTATGTCAGAGACAACATTAATTTCGTGGTCAGATTTGTAGCAACATAACATGGCTATCACGAGCGATTGCTCAAAAGCAGTCATCATACTAGAAAAAAAGCGATGCCACACTTCAGTCCATAGTAGTGAAACAGAGAACTGACATGAAAAGAAAGAGAGGGGATATTTAAGCACATCTCTGGTGGTGCCTTAAAAAGAAGCATAAGCAATGGTTGCGCATATGTTTCCCTTGTTATTTACAGCAGTGCGCGGCACTGTCTTGCAGCTAACAAAAGCCGGGAGTGCCACTACAGTGGAATCCCGATTATACGACTTTCGGCAGACCACGCGAAACCCCTGTATAATTCGGGAGTTGTAAAATCGAAAAACTAAGATTATAAACAATGGCACTCAGCCTTGCCTGAAAACCGGGCACAGACTGCCTGAATAAGCCCACGGCACGACTTTCTGCCTCTTCAAGGAAGGTGGACTAAATTATTCTTGCCAGTGGCAGCCAATGGAGCGTCGCTTAGTTGCAAGAGGTGCGAGCGAATTTTTAGTCTCAAATTTACAAACAATCGAAGATGGCGGCTCAGCGAATCGCTCAGATAGATCGGATCTCACCAGAATGGTCGTCTGCACACAAGCAGACGCTTTCCCATATGCTCAACGTGAGTAATGTTTGCTTTTTGGGTTTCAACACGAAATAAGCCAGAAAATACAACAGTTATGTTTGTCTCTCTTAGCTTTCTCTTTTCGACGCGAGGTGGCGCTTCGTCGCATAGAAGCCGTCCAGACGTGTTCCATTTCTCGGACACCAAGGGCTCGGTGCTGCCTTTGAAGCTGTCTGCCTAGACTGCCTGCGATGCTGTCTAAGAATTGAAACACAGCCCAAGAAGCACACTTATTGGTCCCATGAGAAAAGCTACCGGAGCAGTGTGACATGTTACAATCTATTCGATGCATCAATTGAAGCATTCATCAACTCTGCACTGTGACAGACGCCGCGCAACACTGCTTTGTACCATTCCCTCTATTCTTTTTTTGACACCCGCTTGCAATATCATTACAAGAAAGGTCCCCCGTGAGACATAGATTCCTTCTAGACCAATTTGAGCTGTATTTTTCATCTTCTAGGAAGACCGCTCGATTGGGTACAATCCATAAGAATTTTATTAAAATCTAAACCACAGCACAAAACTGTTAAATTACAAAGATTTTGTTCAGACAAGGTTTTCTAAATGGAAGTCTGACTACAAATATAACTTTCTCTTGAACCAAGTTACCACACCTTGTCGGCTTCTTCCAACCGCTGCCTGAGCTCGGCCAGGGTTGCTCTCAGCCTCTCCTCCACGCTGGTGTCCGATTCCGTCGACCCCGAGTCTTCGTGCTTTGGCGTGCCACGAAGCCAGTACGGACTTCCCTGCTTCCTGCCTTCGAAAGCAGTCCTCGGCAGGTAGTAATCCGTGGCACTGCCATCTGAAAACTTCCTTGCATCAACGTCATCCAGGCCAGATTCCGCCGTAGTGTAGCTTGTCGTGGGAGACGGCGTATCGGGTGCAGGCCGGTTTCGTGGTGGGCACTCGGGATAGGCACGGAGCCTGGCTCGAAGGGCCTCGGCAGCACTGCATTCTCTGGCAGCTACATAGTCGCAGAGAAAGCAGGAGGCCTCGCTGTAGAACGACTCGGAGTCCGTCGATGACAATTCTCGAGGTGTTGAGTGGCTTGCTGCTTCGTTCTTGGTGCCACACCGGTGGCAGGTGTTACCTGGGTGAAAAACAAAAAGAAAAAGTAAACCACAGATGCGGTTAAAGAATGCACTAGATTATGTCTGGCTTTTTTTTATTAACATGAAAGTGTTTTATGCCGGGGTCTACCAAGACTTCAGTCACGTATTTTCTGCCCCAAAAATGACGTTGAAAAAATGTACACGATCAGATGTAAAAGAATAAAAGTTCCGAACAGCCATCGAACCAACGACCTCTCAGTCCACAGCAACAAATGCCAAGCACGCCACTCCTTGCGCCACGGCCACACACGCTGACGGCTTTACAAACGCACTTTTTATATTGCACACTTTCTCTTGGTGCTCTTGGTCAGCAGGGTGGTGACGCCCTCTTGGATCGGTTAAGTAAACTAATTCATCATTACTGGGGCCTCCACTAGAAGCAACTGCAATGCATGTTGCTATGCTTCCTTCCCATTCGGCACGTTTTCAATAGAAATGCAATTCTGTCAACACCCCAATACCGTGAGGCAGCAAACTTAGCCCAAGCGTTGGCCTCCCTCAGACCATTCATCCAGATCCAAAATAGCTCTGCGACGCTTGCCTGACTCACTTGGCTGTAATATCACGTTCGTCGCTTACGCTTGCCCCTAGAAATATTGTGGCCGGATTACTGGGGCAACATAACGCTCTGTGCATTTCCCTCTACTCCAACCAGTGTGTTCAATCACACTATAACACGCCGGTGGGTTGGCGAACTTAGCTCAGGCATCCAATACGATGCTCAAGTGGCCAACCCACTTTTTTCTCTGATTACGCTTTCATAGTTAACAATTACAGCTACCAAAAAGCTTTGTTTAATCATTGATCATGGACGTTAGTCGTCAGATTGGAGATGTACCAACGTTAGTCGTAAGATTGGACATGACTGAGCGTCAACGTAGGCACATCCACTTTAAATGTTGCTATAGCTGCCAGCCCCATTACACATTGTGCAAGTTCTCCGATGTCAGTGTACAGTGAGAACTCAATCACAGTTAAACCTGCCCATAACAAAACTCCAGACAACTCATTTCTCGACATTACAAATTTTTTATATGCCCCACCACCACTCCATAGAGCACATGTATTTGCGACCTCTATGTAACAAAGTGGCAGCATGAGACACCCTTGATATAATGAAGTCTGGTGACCGACAAACGAAAGAATTTGCCTTAAATTTTATCATTCTAGATTGACCCTCCATCTTTACCAATTACTTGCAAACAACTAAGCTTGAGGTAGCATCATCTGCATGACACGTTTGAAGCCCCAGTAAGTGTGAGGTGATGACTCGAGCCGGCATAGCCGCCGTTTTTGCCACCACTGGAACATGTGAAAACTGTACCCTCCCCTCTCCCTTCAAACCAAAAAAAAAAAAAAATGAAAAGAAAACAACTGTTGCGATGGCAGCACAACTCTTCAGTTGCTACACAAGTCTCTGAACTGCACTTCGTTACAGTGGCCCCAAATGATGCCACTAAAAAAAAAATTTTGCTCCGTGTCGTCACGCTTCGAGCATGTGTCAGATATGGTAAGCAGTTCTCCAATTTTCCTAATAGTATTCTTCAGTATCAGTGTCGTTCACTCTTTTTTTGAGCACTGTGTACGCTTGCGTGCACTCGAAACTAAGTGCACATGGAAAGGCTCCAGTAGGGTGGCTAGAAGGAGGAGGTGTAATGAGCGCAGCGTTTTTCATTTATCGGAGAGGGTTCGTTGATGGGCCAACGCCGCTAGGGGCACTGATGGCAGTGGTGCGAGTGGCGAGCAGCGCACCTCGCTGGGTTTCGTGTGGGTGCTATCATTTCCAACGAGCAAGGTGCGCCATCGTTATTAGATGATTGCACTTCCACATGCAAATGTCAAACTAAAGCGTAAATATATTCTAAATGATTGTCAACCCGCGAAGACAGCATGAGTTGCTACGAACGTATCACTAAATAGCACGACTTTTGACAGGCGCAACCTCGTAATGTACAAGCAGCAGACGATGCTTTCGCAGAGCAAGTACCGGACCAATGTTGAAGCGTGTTGGAGCGAAATGGCGAGTGCGGCCAATCGAAGGCCCCAAGACAAACTTTATAAACATCAAGGACTTGGCCAAAGTAAGAAAGTTACAGATGGGGAAACCCTCGTTATGATGACTATCCCAAAATGGCACCGCCCGGTTGTTCCGTTCCAGACCAATAATTATTTTAGCGACGCTTGTTTTTACGACTTCTGCAATAATTGTGCTGTTGACACTACTGAATAGCGTAAATGAATACAATTCTGCCTCTGCATTTTCTCATTCTCTGTAAGAGGTTCAGGAAATGTGACTTGGCAGCACCCCTTCAGAGCTTTGTCAACCAGGTCGAAAGGAACGTTTTCATGTTTCTATCTTTAAAAAATATGCTTGAGAATGCTCTGCAACCTTTTTCTGCAGTTCCGCTTCGTAGTATTACAAATATATTTGATTTGCACTCAAACATTATTATTATAATTCGCTTTGCACCCAAAATTGTGCTACTTGCGCAACTCTAGTTCACAGCAGTGTCTGCTTTCCGCAGGATGTGTTTCCTCATCAAGTTCAAGGGGCTGTTTATGACCTTAAAACATATTTTCAAGGTTAAAAAGAATCGCTGTCAATTTAAACACTGAATTCCTGGCCTACGAATGCAAGTTTCCCCCATTTTCACGAGCACCACATCCCAGAAATGCGGTTTGTGTGGCCAACTCATTGGGCCTGCAAACTCAATAAGCAAAGGTAAAGATATGGCAACGAGAAAAAGATGGAAACATACGCCCCGCGGCCCTTTCGGATGACGATCCAGGTAGTGACAAGTCTGGTGATGACAGCGTTGGCGACAATGACGATGAGGAACCTCCCTGCAAGTCGAGGCATCCAGCGAAAATCTCGAGCAGATGCATTACTACTTGCGGGTCGCGTGCGACAACATCGCGGCCTTGAATGTGTGGCAGGGACGTCTGTAGCACGCGGTTTGCGAGTATGTCCAGGGCCGCCTGCACGTTCACTGCTTCTTCAACACGAGTCTGCGGGTTTTCGATTAGCCCTGCAAAAAAGTAGGTTGTCACGGTTACAACTGCCTGTCAAGCGAAATTTCGTTGATGCTTCTCTCATGTTCGCTAGTGACTAAGAGCTGCTAGTGAATAAGCTGTCCATACTGGGAGTATGGACAGCCTATTTAGAATGAAATGTTGTCACAACCCTGTCAATGCGAAGGAAATCACCGGCCAGATTCCAAAGGTTAATGTATCAGTGCCTCAAAGTGCACTACGAATGCATGAAAGGTTAGGTTCTTTTAGCATGCCAGCAAACCCCGGTGGTGATCTAAAGACCAAGTCAGAACTAAGAGTTGATAACACACACAAAAAAAAATCAGCTAAGGCAGAACAAGAATCACATCAATATGCACACTTGGCTGGTTCAATTGCAACACAACTCACATGGGTTTAATAGTAACGGGAACAATGAATTATTTGTGCAAATATAGAACCACTCGAGAATACTCAAGAACACTTAGTCTTTTCATATTCACTAGCTTGGTGAATCCCTCCTCGTACACTGTAGCGATGATGAATCGTTTCTCTTCCCAGTCAGCAATCACGTGTCTACATGACAATGTCTTCAAAACTTTTCACTGCTCCCACAGTGTCATTCCTCCACATTTCCAAGACCGACTGCTGGCATTACATCATAAAACCACACATGTTGTACGGCTGACCGAGCCCCACATTTTTAGGTGCCCACTTCTTGTCTTTATAATGATAACTACAGACAATAATGCCAGGGAAAGTGCAGCCGTTGTTATTAGAAGTAATTGTAATGTGAAGAGAAAAGTGGACGAAAAGAGAACCTGCCAACGGCAGAAGCCGAACCTGCGACTTTCGACTATTGTGTCTGATGCTCTACCACTGAGCTACAGGCGGCGGGCATCCCTCTGTCCACTTTTATACCCAATAAAATTGCATCGGACACGCTATGCGAAGGTCGCATGCTCGGATCCTGCCAGTGGCAAGTTATCTTTCCGTCCACTTTTCTTTCTTCACATTACAATTACTTCTAATAACAACCCCTATATTTTCCCTGGCATTATTGTCTGCTAGTTATCATTATAATGTGTCTAACAAAAAAAAAGAGCCCTCAAGTTCACAGTATCCTTATTTCTTGTCCTGCAGTTTGCGCTGCTTTGAATAATATGGACCCACACTTCTACAACACAACTTCCTCACCCACTAACCAACTACCATCCACGTGCGCTCACACCGAGTTGCGCCTCGGCCCGCAAATCTTCGAGGTGACTCATTCGCTCATAGCACAGTGGAAGCTTGGGGAATTGGCGAGCTCCTTCTCGCTCTGTGGTGGCGGATGCGCCGGCGGTAGCCGCACTTACCTCTAGAATTTTCTCCATCTTGCATGGGTATTAGCTTTCTTGACCTGCATCGTCTCCAAAGGAGGTGAAGAGATGCTTTGGGCACCTTTCTATATATATATATATATATATTTAAATATTTCATGTTCGTGTTCAGCCGAGGCTCGACTGGCACTACCACTGTCTTTTGATACTATCATCTGTTGGGGGTGGTGCACATTGGGTGAAGTGCTCGTTTGTGTCGAACGTTTAGCTTAATTTCAGAAAAAAAAGCTGTTACTTTTTTCTTAGCCATTCCTTAAACAGCTATTGTTGTGTACATACCAGACAGATATGCAAGATATGTTACTTACTCTACAGCCCAGACGCCAATGAACTTTGCAGATAATAAACACTGCAGTTCCTACACTCCACCCCATACATCAGCTCCACGGCTTCACAAGAATTTCGATCTGAAAAATGTGTAAGACCACGTGTCTTGCAGTTGAACTTTGTCACAAACATGGCATCCACAAGTGGCTCTGGCTGAGCCTTACTGCTAAAGTCCAGAACAAGCTATCGACAATCGCACAAACGAGAAGGTTTGTTTATTTTTAAGACACTAAGCATCTTCATTTGTTACCTGTAAAAACAGAAAAAGAAATAATAAAATGGGAGGTAAGATGATTGAGCTAACTCTTAGTGAGAATATGCATGCACTGCGAGAAATCTCACCAACTTCCTTACTGATGCACCTGATGTGTGTAACACAGTATAGAATAATAACCTTGCGATCCAGGTTGACTACCCTTTCATCTAGGAGTCAATCTGCCTGGCGTTCATTGTTGATTATCCTCACCTGGCACTTCGATTCCACAGCAAGCCTTGAACAGCATGAGGACCAATTGAGGAGAGAGGGCTGACAGTTTTCCGATTCGGGGGTGGGGAAGCTGGCATTGTATGATGATCTTGTTGACAAGCTCCAGGCACACTGCGTATTTCGTAAAAGAAAAAAGAATGGAAGAGGAAGCGTCGGGAACCCTCGTTTGATTCGTTCAGAGGCAACATTCTTTGACAAGACTCCTTAATATTCAGTAGATTCCCTTATCTATTTCTCTAAGATGACTAAAAGATGAAAGTCATCTTTATCTTTTTAGCGAATTGTGTTGACCCCCCCCCCCCCCACTTGTTGCAAAAACCACTGAGTTTACTATAAATACACCAGAGGGAACTCTGATGGTAGTGTCTATGGGAGTTCCATACACGGCACTACAGCAAGCATGGCAACAATAAATAGCACATGGATTTGTCTAATCTTCGTACTTCTGACTCCGTTTGGGTTCGCCTGGTATGGAGTCGCTTTGTTACGAAACAAAAAATCATCAAACGTTCAGCAGTTTCACTTCCCCACCTTTATCTTTCCGGCTCACCATTTCAAATCGGGTCACGAAGTTCAAGAGGATTCATTCTTTCATTGGAAACAAAAGCAAAACACAGCAATAAACGAAGCCACAAGTGGGTTCGAGGCCAGCAAGTCTTTCTGTACCTCACTGGCCTCTGAGAACGGCCCATTATTGACCAAGCACTGATATTGCATTCAATCACGCCATAAATTTTAATGAAATAACAGACAATCAAGCCAAGGAAAGCTTGATTGTCTTACAATTTTCATAAATATTGTGTCTAACAAAGAACAACGAACCCTTAAAACTGATCTTCTTTCGTACAGTAACAAATTTTGGCTATTTGTGATGTCATCACATTATGATAATTTTTTGCATCACTCGTGTCGATGATGACACCCGTCTCTCGCGAATAATTGCCAAGTCTCGAAGACACCGACGCTGACAGTCAATATTTATATCTGATGAGCCATGCAAGGCTCGCAACTGAATAAAAAGTTACATGACTAGTCTATAGCTATTTGGCATTTCCTTTCATACATAAACTAACACCTGGGTTTTTGCTTGCCAACACCACAGTCCCGTTACGATGTGTCCTGTATAGCAAAAAACATGGGGTTAATCCTGTTGACCAATCTGTTCATTAGCAAGGCAGAAATTGACATAAGTGGGCAGTTTAGCGTCTTGCACTCATGACGACATGACTGCAGTCACCAGGGTTGAACTCGCAACATTAAGCACAGATGCAGAATGTTACAGCATCTAAGCTAATGTCGTGAACGAGCCACTAATTTTCTTCTGGCATTCCCTTTCGCTACATTGTCATCATTGCTCTATTGTTGTGCAGTGGAAAGTTTGCCCACAGCAGAGTGTCGGAACGAAATGTCTTTTGTTTTGGTTTTTGTTTCATGTTATGGAACGAAAAATTCCATTGCTGAACGAAAAAGATGTTTCGTAATGGTCCGCAATTCTATTTAATCGTGTGCAAAATTTGAAGCTAGAGTAACAATAAAAATATTGGCTTTGTGGCATCATTACTCACAGTCCTCTTGAGGCGTGGGACAGGAGTAGGACAGATTCACTCATTCCACGTTCTTAAGAACAAACCTAACTGTGCCACAAATTCTTACAAATTAGTGGAAACCAGCGCTTTTGTTAGTTATAGTAGACTTTCTCAAAAGTGAAATACGAATTTTTTTAGCAGGCTGAATGCTTGAGTCAAGGAAGTGAGAATGATCTCAAAAGCAGTCCGTCATTGAGTGAACCGCTCATTTGCGAGACTGCCGTTCACATAAAACAAACTTTCGAGCCGACAATGCTTTCTCCAGATTGGCATGTGTCACGGGCACATAAAAGTTAACTAGTGTTAATACAAACATATCTGGTTTCCACTGTTTTCTTTTTTCACACAATTTTGACACATCTTTACTTTGTAATTACTACCCAAGATACGCTCTAGCACTGTACGCTGAGATGTGCATTATTGCTCACGTTGCATGACCTCGGTTATTCCAGACTGCAGAGTTCCCGCGTGAATCGAAAAGTGTTAAGAAAAAATTTCCTGTTAACTCTAGAACGAAATAATGAATAACGTTTTGGTTACGCTTTCATTTCATCCCGAAATACAGTTTTTTTTTATATCAGTTTTCATTCCTTTTCGATACAGTGGCCCACAGTATTGCGAACCAATTGACTGTTGCAATTTAGAGGCAACGCATTTCGAATGCACATGATATAATAGGAACTTAGCTTGTATCAGCGCGGCATATATAAAGAAACAGGACGCAGAGGTAACGAGAAAGATAGGCGCTAAACTTCCACCCGTTTATTCCATGCCCTGCGCTCTCCATCTTACACGTGCATGAAAAAACACAACCCATTTTGCATGTGACCTCATTCTAAGAAACATCATTTTCTTTTCCATGAAAGCAACTGATGTTGGGCTCACAAACACGTTTCCCATTTCTGCTATATGTTCGAGTTCCTTTATTTCACGTGTGAGCCGACTCCTAAAGCAGCCAATAATGACACAGCTGTACAGATTAGGGAACACTCCCAACCTTCGCAGTGCCCTGCTAGGAACCCTCCTGCTGAACATCTGTGTCGTGTTTCTTTGTTATATGTGCAGCAGTAATACAAGCTAAATTCATGGATGACCGAACCCGCTGAGCTTCAACACTTCTAAGGTAACAGGGTCTGCGATTCATGCATTTCTGAAAATATGCAATTAAAATATCTGAAAACCTATCTCCGAGGTATGGCATCCAAGCATACTACACCCACTGAGAAAACAGTAAAAAGAGGGGGTGAGGAGAGATTCTGCACATTTTGATCATTTTGGGGAATAAATTTTGGGGATTTCATTTTGGGGAATAAATACATCCAAGTGCAAAAGCAGTTTAGCTGCACCCCCATTCGTGAGAGCAACTGCTAGAATCAAGGGATAACCAATCTACCAAGTTTATAATGAAAGGAGTTTCGTAGCGAGGGTAAACTTTTAACGGCTCATGAGAACCAGAGTGGTCATCTAGAGTGCAGTCTTTAGTGAACATGCACGGCGGATCCTTTGAATGCACGAGTCTAGAGTCAAGCGGCCTGGGCTTACAAGCATGAATGACACCTCCATAAACTGAAATTCTATTTGCAGCACCGTACAGAAAAGTTGCTGCCGGATGTGCCACCCTCGCATGCTAAGTTACAGTGGTCTGCCCAATGCGAATATCATTTACCTAGACAAGTCCTGTAACTTTGTTCATGCTGCCCAGCTTGCCAGTAAAATCAAAGCATGGGTGTCTGAGCTGGGAAACTGTGTCAAAACAAATCGTTCATGTGTGGCCACAATTGCATTGCTGTATTCAATATAAACGTGAGCATACAGACGCAGATTGGGAGCTAATGCATGGCCCCAAAGACGAAGGCGCTCGCATCAATCTAATCGTAAGGTTGCGAAAACGACAAGCTTTCCTGTGAAAGATCTTCAGAGTGTACTTGAAGATCTATCTACTCGTGTGCACACTAAATGTGCACGCAAAGCAGCAACGCACGTAAAAAAAAATTCAAGCAGTGGCCTTTTCTTAGTCGATAACGGAAGTGTTTATGTGGATGCGATTGATCATTAGGAACATTGCTGGCGTGAGCGGCTCAGATGACACAACAAGGACTTCCCACAACGATGCGGGATAAGCATAGCCTCGGAACCGAAGCACGTTACTAACAAAAAAAAGGGGGGAGGGGGGGGACACAGCGCCACACTGTCTAGAAGCGTTAAACGAACCGGAAACTGAACACACACCGCCGCCGTTCAATGCACCATTCATCAGACATGTGACAGGTCGCAAGCTGGCGAAATGTCACGGACGCGCACAGGCAGCAAACATTGTTGGGAGGTTTCTGATGACGCTTTCAATAATGCAAGGACGCCGAAGCACACCACAATATCAAGCATAAAATAAAGCAAAACAATCGCACCTCTTTCCGCATTGAAGTCACTCATATCACCGCTCAAGCGGGCACCGACGATCAGCCGTGCTACGTGGGCGCAATTCAGCGATCCACGGCTAGAAACTCAAGACGGGGAAGCGAATTTCGCCAAGTCTTCGCTCGCGATTTCAAGCTTCCCTCCACGATCCAAGCGCTGCCATGGCCCAGCTCGTCGACAACTCCGCCCTCTCGGATGTTGACGTAATCCCACGCTTTGGTGCTTTTCCACTGCACGTATCGGCGTCCACGGGCCTCTCCGATGCTCGTATCTCGCTGCGGAGGCGACGCACCCGAGCCGAAACGCCAGTTTTCGACGCTAACTCCGATTTACGGGCTCAGCGCAGGGCCTAACATATCGCAACAACTCGTGGGTCAACACAGTCAATGGCTGGCCTGACGTGAGCTTCGCTCGGCAGCCGCCGCATACCTAAGCGCTGCCTGTCCAAACTAAAAATAAACCGAAACTATTTTTCAGTTGCCAAATGGCGTTAATGTTCCGTTTACCGGCGTCACGTCAGAGACAAACGCAAAAAAGAATCGTTTTTTGACGTCACAAACGCGAGAGAACAGATTGTGTGCTACTAGCGCTGCAGTGGAAGCGACGTTGTGCAAAACTTGACCAACCGAACGCACCCAAACAGTTTGGTGGCGCCATCTGTCGTTGGGTCGAAAAACCGAATCGCGCTGCCTGCTTCATTGTTCCCGGAAAGGCCGCAGCCAAGTCACAAGAGAAGTGTACGTGTTCAAGCTACACACCATGGCCGAGCCGAGCGACACGACTTTAACTTTCTTCACCAAGGCGACGCCGAGTCAGTGGAGTTATGTGCTGTCAATGTACAAAGAAGTCCTCAAACAGAAAGCCGCATTGCGCACCAAAAAGGGAGGCCCCGAGGAACTCATCAAGCTCGACGCCTGGCAAGTGGAAAAAAACTTTTTTTATTCGTCGCGATGGTGCGGGAAAAAAAGAGTGCCAGCACCAAGGCCGTTCGGGGCAGAGAATCTCTAGGCGAAAAGAACGGGCGAACGCGTGTTGTCGCGTGTTTTGGCGAGCCGGCGTGTAGTGTCCGGCGATGTTTTAGTTGTATCGATGCTCTAGATGCTGTAATAAGTGTGCTGTGTTGTGCCGTGCCTGAAACGCAGCGTCTAGCCGCCGCGTTCTCATCTGCCGAAGCGAACACCGGCGCGATCTCTCGCACGCACGGCCCGAGTCCGCCGCGGCTTTTGACAGCGGTGCGAGCGAACGCCGTTCCGAACCCCCTGCTCGCGCGAAAACCGTCTCTACTACTGCTGGCCCGTTCGTCGCGTGCGGCGAACAGCCTCTTGCCCAACGCGCGGCGCTCCGTTTTCATCATTTTTTTTTTCTTTCCAGGCGGGCGCTGTGCGCGTTTTGTTTTGTTCAAGTGTGCGGACGGATTGCCCTGTTCGCCCCCCTCGTTCCTTTTCCCTCTTGCCCCCGCCGTCTTCGACGTCGACACTTCCTTTCCACCAATCGCTTCCGACGGCCCGCTTTTGTTTTGGGGCGCAATCCCGTGCGCAACCTTTTCCCTTCGCTTTGTATTTTCTCGCTGCATTGTAGGCTACGCTCTTTTTTTTTTTTCCTCATGTTGCCGGCTCGTGTCTGATGTCTCACAAGGGCGAGAAGGAGATACGTGGGTGGCGTTCGCTGAAGAGGCGAGGAGGGAGAGGAAACGAGGCACGCAGTGGGACGACTCGCCGCCCTCCGTGCGTGCTGCACGGCACATCGATTTCGGGGCTGCGTTAGGCCTAGCGAGCCGTAGGAGGTAGGAAAAAGCTGGGTTCGCGGGGCCGCCGCAGGGATGGTAAAAAAGAAGGGAGGTGCAGGGAACGTCAAAAAAAATGAAGACGGACCGGCGAAGGGAAGAGCCGCTTCCCCCGGGCGCCGGTGGGAATGTGAAAAGGGAAAAAAAAAAAAGAAACACGACCGGCGAAAGAAAAAAAAACAAACAAAACGGTCGTGCGTCACGAAAAAGCCAGCAGCGACTCTCCTCCTCTGGGTCTTGCGCTCTCTCGCTGTCGTTGCTGCTGGCTCGGAACGTTCTCGGCACGGTTGCCTGCTGGCAGCTCGCGCGCTCGGCCGGTGTTTCGTGCCTCGACCCGGCTGGCGTGTGGAGGACGTGCGATAGCGCGAGCCGTGCCAGCGGGAGCGAGGAGGATAACGAAATGCGAGGGTGTTTTTGTCGGCGACTGCGTGCGGTGACCGTGGCGGCGAGGGAGAGAGGCCGTTCTTGTATGACGGGGAGAAAGAAGAAAACCGAAGCAACAAAGTCGCAGCGGCTGGGAGCTGTGTGCGAAGAACGCGAAAAACAGCGCTTGCGACCGGCTCGGAGCGAACGCACTCTGTAGAGAGAGCGCCGCCTGTCCCCTGAAAACCGAGGCAAGCGTGCGCGGGGACCGAGCCGGCTTTGCTGCCCCGGAGGTTTCCCTACCGCTCGTTGCTGCTGCCGTCGGTGCCTTCAACATTTGTGTTGTTGTGTGGAAAGTTCTTTTTCAACATCCGGCGGCAGCTGAAACCGCGCCGGGAGTGAGTGAGGGAGAGAGTATCGCTTGGGGGGCCAGCCGGCCGGCTCGTTCGATGGAAACGCGGCGGGTCTTTTTTTTTTTATTGCTTTTTTCTCTTTCTCATATTCGCCGGTCGTTCTCTTTGAACGGGAACCGGCGGCGCGCTGCTAGGTCGGCGGATAAAGAGCGATTTCGAACTAGTCCGCGCTCTTTCTCCCTCGCTCTCTTCCACTTCAACTCTGCTACACCCTCACCTCATTTTACGTCACGCATTTTTGTCTTCTTTCCTGCCATGCCTCTTAATCTCGTTCATTCCTGTCCAGTGAACGCGTGCTCCGTAGCGATTTTCTTTTTTTTTTTTAACCACCGCGCGGGCGCGAAACAATTCGTGCGCTGTCGCGCAAATTTCTTGCGTGCGCCTGCTAGCAAAACAAGAAAAGGCACGTCAGAACCGTGCTAAGCCTAAAAAAAAAAAATTGACAGATTTTCTGCTTTGCCGTTGCGCGAATTTTCTTTTTACCTCCTTTATTGCGCTGTATGCGAAAGGGAGGACAAAAAATCGATCCGATCGTTTTCAGAGCGCTAACGAAGAGGTCGTTACAAAATCGAGCACGGCGGCGGAGTGCGCTTTTTGTTTTCTTGAGAAAAACGCCCTTCAACTTGTCTTCACTATAAATAATGCTTTTTGATTGCCTAGGAAAGCCATCCACATGTTAATTAAATTTCTGGTGGAATTAGAAGCAGTGCAGCAGCAAGCATAACAAGTTCATTTTGATAATATAGAGAAACCCCGCCGCGGTGGTCTAGTGGCTAAGGTACTCGGCTGCTGATCCGCAGGTCGCGGGTTCAAATCCCGGCTGCATTTCCGATGGAGGCGGAAATGTCGTAGGCCCGTGGGTGCACGTTAAAGAACCCCAGGTGGTCAAAATCTCCGGAGCCCTCCACTACGGCGTCTCTCATAATCAAATGGTGGTTTTGGGACGTTAAACCCCACAAATCTAATAATATAGAGAAAAAAAAACGTCAACTATAGTGTGGACGCATTACTAGTCCTTGTGTTACAGGTTGACAAGTTTTCAGGGGGTCTTTTTTTTTTTTTTTTTTTTGTCAGCGGAAAGGGCAAAGCACTCCAGTCTGCAAAATATACTATAGGCGTGAGTGCACCAAAAAAATTAATTACAGTGGGTTCCTAGTTTTTGTTGCTGCTGTACCAAGACATCGCAACACAGCATGAGTGTTTTGTCATGTACTCGCACAAGTTATTGTGACGTTTCCATAGGTCACTTTGTCGGTGACGCACAAGCAACCATTTTGGCAGTTTTTGTAACTGACGCTAGTGTATCTAGTCGTACGGGCACGTAAAGTCACCTGAATTGATACGAATGAGAACAGACAAAGATGCAAAGTAAAGGGAATGTTAACTATAGGCGATGTTGTTAGAAGTCATTGAAATGTGAATGCCAAGAAACAAAAGCAAACAGAAACATGACTAGCTGCTGGCAGGGACTGAACAACTTGTGACGGTCGAATAATGCGTCAGGCAGAAAGTTATAGGTAGAAATGTTGGTACTATCCTCTGGTTAGAGTGTTACCTTGTTTGTCCTTAACATACCATACAAAAGTGGCAACTTTACAAAACAGCACTCCTTTTTACAGACTACACTCAGAGACAGTGTTAGGCGTGTTAAGAGGTGCATAGCTTAAACATCCAGGCTCAGGAATAGCAACTAGGTGCCTTGATAAAGAGAACACCACTTGTTAAGCTTTGCTACTCGTGTCATATGCCCGTTGTGTTAGGTGTGAGGCACCTTGCCTTGTTGGTGTCTTAATGTCGTCACAGTTGCATCACAAAAATGGGTATGTGCAAAGAAGGTTGGGTAAATTCTACTAATCTCCAGCTGTCCTCTAGAAATCCCCCTTCCCCATTGACGCTGAATGGTAGATGTCCGTGTACTTAGATTTAGGTGCATCTTAAAGAACAGTACATTAGTCGAAATTGTGAAATATTGGTCCACAGAACATGCCGATATGTGTATTCTGAGCTCTTGTGCCCCAACTGCTTCTGTCGCTACACAATTACTATGTGAACACTGTGCAAGTCAAGGTGCAGAACACATGCAGTTGTGCCCGGGAGTGTATAAGCATGTGGGTGTCTTCCTAATGCATGGATTTATTTTATATATAAGTATACTTCTCTCTCTTTTTTCCTTGTATCTCCTATGCCAACGCAGACAAGTTGTTGCTCTCGCCAAGAATCTTTGTTCTTTATAGTCTCCCTATGTGCATAGTTACATGCACAGTGACGAGTATGCCTTATCGCCTTTCTTTTGGAGCGTTTTACATAAGGTAGCTGCCTGCTCGGCGCCTTTCCTCTAAGCTTGTGTAAGCTCTCGCACATGCAAAGGGCATGAAGTAGACAGCTTCGATGCAGCAGTCTAGGGTAGGTTGACTGCATTTGTGTAGGTGATGTGCAACCAGCTCACAGGGGCCTTTGTTGTGGTCTCATCATTCTCTTTTCATTCGGATGCGCGTGAAATGTTCTTTTATACTGAGAAATTGAGCAGGAAAAGTTGGCATTGAGATGGCGAGGCAGAATACTGGACCTTCTCCTCTGTGGTTCCGCTGTTCCACGCACTAATCGACCATTTGTTAGAGCAGTTGTGTGCTTTACGCCTACAGCTCATTTCATGCGTAGTGTGCGGTGTATGCCGGTATTGCAGCTTTTTCAACTGCATTTTTTGGCCACGTCTAGCATGCTGCGTATTGCTCTGCAGACGTCAATTTGAACACCAGGGAAACTTGCTGAACTCTGGAACAGTTTTCTCTTGAACTTACGCTCTTATCATCATCGAACGTGATCTGTAAAGCTTTTTGACTGGTGTAATAGCATTACGAGTTGTCCGTTAGTGTTTCTTTGCATTTTTATGGTTGCTGCACTGATATTGGCAATAATCTCGCTCATTTGTAGGTTCCTTTATAGTCATTTACAATGCCGACATATCGGTGCAAGTGCGTAAGAGAGTTTATTATTAAGTAAATGCCGTCAAGGGACTGCATTTCTCGCGCGTCGTACGCCACCGCATGCATGCATGTGCAGTTTATAAACGGCGAAAGATGAATTGTGAGGCTAGTTTATTTGTCATAACAAGATTGAAAGCTCCATTTCAAAGCCCTCTGCTCCGGCATTCACTCACCCAACAATAGGTACAACAAAACTTAAATTTTCTGAGTCAATTATGTGGTTATGTAATGAACTGAATGAGAAATTTATACGGTTGTATAACAGGAATGCACTGCGTGTGTGATAGTGTGTGATTTTGTTTGTTTCTATATTTTGTCCTTTTTTTTCTTTGTTGGGGGTGTCTTAAGCATGGGAACTTTGTGTGAGCAGTATAAACGGAAAGTGCACCTAACCTTTTAGTTGGTTCGCAACGTTTCTTCTGAGCAGCTGTCCGCTGCAGCTGCGATCTTTGTTTTGAAAAATAGCTGGCTGGGGTTTCACTGTTTGTGAATTGTCTTCCGCTTTGTCTTCAAAGAAAGCATTGTGAAATTTTGTTATAAAATGTGAGCATTGTAGCTTTTCTTCCTTTTCCTCATTTCTTTTTTGTTATTGTACGGCTGTATTCCAACTGCACCTTCCTTAAAGCTGTATATTAGTTAAACATTGCTTAAACAATGAGGTGTGTGGCTGGCTATGCTTTTATTGGTTGACTTGCTTGTCATGGCGGTTAAGTCAGTAACTTAAGTAAAAATTTAGATGTGTGAGAAACGTTTTGTCACAAGAAACACAATAAATACAGAAACGCACGAGCGATTTTTCCATATCCCTCACCTTCATCCGTGTCATGTATTTCAAACAGGTTCTTGTTTTTACCTAGGTACTGTGCAGTTCAGGGTGGAAAGGAGCAGATTGACGTTAATAGGAATAATTAGGCACTGCTCGCACAACTATTGGAAAAAAAACAATTCTGATATAATCAATTAGATATACATGTACTGCATGTCTGTGCACTGCACCCAGCAATAATGAATGGCCCAAACCAAACCGTCATCTTCCCTCTACCAGCATATTAGACTATACACAAGGGATCGCGTAATTTCAGTCTATAATGTCCAATGATTTGGCTCAGATCTACAAAGCATGAACCGAAGTTTTTTCCTAACCAAAGGATTTGCCACAAGTAAGGTGCACTGGCAACTTGGTAGTAGTATGTGCTATCTGTGTGCCTGTTCTTTTCGCATGTGTCTTACCTGTGGCAAATATGCTCTTGAGGTGGGCACCAGTTTACGAAGAAACTGGCGTCGCTTTAATTGCCTTTAATCTTTCTGAAGAACTAATTCGTGCTCATTCAACTAAAATCTTAAATTTCGTTCTTTGTATCTGAGCCTGAGCATTGTATACTGAAAAATTATATTACGTGATCTCTTGCGTACAATCTGGCCTGCTGGTGAAGGGAAAATGACGGTTTGTTTTTGGCCATTCATTATTGCTTTGATGCAGTGCAAGGACTTGAAGTAAATGTATGTATCACTTTTTTTTTTTTTTCAGTAGTGTTGTGAGCAGTGCTTATTTTTCGTTATTAATGTCAATCTGCTCCTTTCGACTGTAGATCACACTGTGTACATGGCAAAAACAACCTACTGAAAATACGTCACACAGAGAAAGGTGCGAGATATGGGAAAACCTTTCATGTGTTTCTGTAATTGTTGGGTTTGTTGTGACTTTCGTACCATTGAAAATGTATATTGACTAACCCAAACAGGACTGAAATTCAAGAAATGATGGATATTCGAAAAGCGGAAAAATTAATTTCCATTAGCTGAGTCAGTTATTCTATGCTGAACAGCTGGTCAATACTTGCCCGACTATTGTATCTTCGTGGCATGTTTTGTTCTTTTGTGTCGCATAGGTTGCTATTGTGCAATGTTTTTGCATAGTCATTTATGTTGATAGTAGCAGCTGTGTTGATTTTTCTCGCTGGCCATTCTCTTCGCCAATGTGCAGGTACCAGGAGCAGCTTCCCAAGACCATACAGGCACGCAAAGACAAGCATTTGGTCCATGAAGAGCTTGTTAAAATAATGAAATGGAAACTAATGGTGAGTTTGGCACACCTGACAGCAGCTACTGAATTCCAGTCTGGCCCGCTCGTATCGAACAAAATGGGAAATGACTACTAACACAAATGGCGCAAGAATAAGAAGAGAGAACACACGGTTCTGTCCAGTATTCTTTCTTCTCGTCGGTATTCCTTTTGCGCTAGTAACTACAACCTATTTTGGTCTTACCGTTTCTTCAACAATGATTTCTTGTTGTCATGGCATTGATAAAACAGAAAGAGCTGCAGAAGGAGCCCTATTGGCATGGATGGCAGCTTCCAGGTTAAGCCATGGCAGGTGGATGACTTTGTAAGCAGATAGAACGGTCGTTGACCCATTCGTAAACATCGCAGAACGGGGGACATACTTGCATGCGTTATGGACCAGCATTCTTTGATAGAACACAGACAAGATGATGTCCCTGATAATGGGTGGAATTTCCTCATAATATCCAGGCGACGTGACTGGTGGCAGGAACAGAACACCATACAATGACTGGCTCGTCTCAGTCACTCAATAATTGCGTGTGTGCAGTTTCTATTTTATGGGCTGTTCATAATTGTCATAATGGTAGCCACAACTATACAGCATAACTTGTGTGAAAAAAAGAAAAAAAGCCCTGTTTTAGAGCTAAGTATCTCGAGTGCAGACGATTTTAGGTCTATCTGAACGCCATTCCATGGCTGGCTCGTCTCATTCACTCAATAATTGCGTGTGTGCAGTTTCTATTTCATGGGCTGTTCATAATTGTCATAATGGTAGCCACAACTGTACAGCATAACTTGTGTGAAAAAAAAAAAGCCCTGTTTCAGAGCTAAATATCTCGAGAGCAGACGATTTTAGGTCTATCGCATTGTACCCCATAAGAACATTGTAAAAAGTCAGCTGAAATTTCAGCTCTCATTTTCATTATCACTTAAACTTCGTCAATTTTCCTGTTGTCAGTGAAGCAGATTATTTGTCCTAAAAGTAACTACATGCAGATTGCCTGTTCTTAGGGCTTCTGCAGAACGCCATAGGACTTTTTTACTTTTTTTTTTTTTCAGTGAATACCACCTTGAGCAGCAAATCATTTCTGATTAAATTTTTGTGTTCCTTTTTCCTCAACTATAGCAGTAAGCCTTGCTCTTGTTTGGGTATGCAAAGTGCAGCTGGCGCAACTCGCATCCGAGTAGTAATGAAGCGATGGCATGCGAAAAGGACGCAGATACACGACAGAAGTGCCCACGAACGTATTGCAGGCTATCAGCTGAGCTTTTGTTTAAACAGCCAATGTAAATGTGCACAGGTCACGTAGTGGGAAAAAAAAGCTCATTCATAAATAGAGATCAAGTTAGTTCTATTATGTGTTTTCAATCATGTCTACCTCTACTGCAATAGCGTGACCACATCTCTAATATGTGCTTGTTTATTTAGATTTCCAGCATTGAGGGTTCTTTAGGAACCTTAGTAGAACCACTGATATTACAGAGCTTATTATTTTAATGTTGCATTTGTTTAAAGGTGTGGGAGGGCTTGTTTGGTTACTACTTCAAAGGTGCTTGCTGTGGAATGGACGAAAAATAGGTGTCCGTGCAGCTGAGTATACGTCCATGTGCACTGCATTTGAATTGATCATACATCGTTTAAATGGGCCTGAATGTAGCCGTATTTCTCCAGGGCATAATAACTTTAGGCAAACTACGAGGGCATAGCCTTTCTACGCTCCTTCAATGAAAGGCTGCCTGATGCATTGCTGATTACTTTTATGCTCTAAGGGGAGAAAGGCTCATTGAATGAGAATGCCCGTCTTTTTTTGGTTTATTATTAATACTGTTGTTGTTGTGGTTGTTGTTGAAAAAACACCAAAGAGAAAGCGGTGTTTCTCATAACTAGTTAACCACCCTTCCACAATTTCAAAAGAAGCACTCTTGTCACCAGTGTGCGCTTAAATCGAGAAAATGGGCAACACATGCAGCTGGCAGTACTGCCTTAAAGAGTGCTCACTGAGAGAGCCCATCACTGATGATGTCTGCTATGGCGATCTATATTCTTTATTTGTAAAATAAATTATATTGTGTCCTAAGTGACCCAGGCTTAATATACCCAGTTTCAGGAACACTTCAGAATCCAACAAGGTGAAAATATTAAAAAGTGATGTGTAAACCATGACGTCACAGTAACACTGCGGTGCTTAATTTTGCATGGAACTCTTGCGTGCGCTCTTTTAGGATAGTTTATCAGCCTAAGTTTATTTAGCGTTCCACTTCAATGTCTCTTTGAAATGGGCCCTACTATGCAGGTATCCAGACTTTTGTTTGAAGCACTGTCATTTTAAGAGGCTCTTATTGAAGTTTTTTCTCTTGTAGGCACGTATGCATCAATAGGTTGCTGCAGCCTGAAAATAATTTTAACTTGGCTTGATGACAGTCCTGTAATGCCGGAATGGCTTATCGTCCCCAATGAAAACTGAGATTCAAGAGAGTTGCTAGGCATTTATTAACATAAAGCTGTGTTGCAGAATATTGCAAGAATGTGGAACACTGTTTTCAGGATATCTTGAACGCCTTTGTGAAATACCAGTGCTTGTGTCTGAGTCAGGTGTCGTTCCACAATCTTGTGATATTTTATGGCACTATTTTAAACAAACGACATCCTCAATTTAAAAGGGCTTGTGTGGTTTGTCGAGGACACTACTGCCATGCACGCTGCTTTTGTATTTTCATGTAACTAACCTGTTACACATGTAACTACTACCATGCGCTCGCTGTACTGGAATGTCAAGCACTCCTGATTATGTTGTAGTGTTCGGACAGGCTTTAGTGTGCAGCATGTCAGTAGAGTTCATTCTCAAACTAAACCAGCCACCAATGAGGCTAAGAATCTTCGATGGCACATGTATAAATGCCGACATGCTTTATCACTACTTGGATCACTGATGACCGTGGTCTGTGCTTGCCGCATTCACTACACCTTGAGCATTGCTTTACTTACGGGGCACAAGTCTTTCTCTATAAAATGTTTTATCTATGCCATCTGCGTTTTTGTTTTTTGTCAGTCACATGACCTTATCAGTCACTTAGTTGCCTAGGGGACCAAGACAAACTGTACCATGCTCTTAGCTCGGCTACTGTAAAAAATTGAATTTTTTTCCTTTTTTTTTTTTTTTTTTTTTTTGTGCCAGAGGGGCAAGTATCGGCCGCAACTATTAGACCTGGTGCGCATCAACACAGAGCTGGCTGTGAAGTCGACGAGCAAGAAAGCGTTCCGCAAGCTGCCCAACCTGTCGGGTGCAATCACAGCGCTGACCAACTTGAAGGGCATCGGGCCGGCCACGGCATCGGCCATCCTTGCAGCGGCCTTCCCCGAGCAGGCACCCTACATGGCTGACGAGAGCATGCTGAGCACGCCAGGCGTTGAGGCCACAGATTACACCCTGGCCGAGTACCTCAACTACGCCGAGCGCATCAAGACCTGCACAGAGCAGCTTGCACAGAAAGGTCAGTCTGCGGTTGGGGTGTGTGCGAGCATTTCATAGTGTTCACACTCCTGGCCAGAGAGGTTAGGGTTGCTGTGACATCACTGACCCACATGCTATGTCGCAGCTATTTAGCTGAAAGAACACTGTGCTCATAATATGGCTTGTATGCCAAAGTTAATTAAGGGAAGCCACCTTGCCCATTCTCCCTCTAAGCGTTGCGACATCGACATCGGCTGAAAAAGTCAAACTGGCACCTTTATGTTACAACACTCCTCGTGTACAGTCGCACTGGAAATAGGTGACAGAATCAGAATAACACCTGTGCCACACGAGCAGAGAAGATATGTCCTTCCTGAGGCCTTCAGATTTAATAACATGTAGCGAGAGAGGGAGATGTCAGATGACGTCGTGAAGGCGGCCAACGGGGCCGTGCGAAATCTCGCCGCTTTATTCCTCGGATCGGAGCTCGGCGGCGCCTGCCAGCGTCCGATGCGCCAGGCACGTGAACCCGTTCTGTTCTCGCAGAACTCGAGCTGTGCATCAGCTGCTCGAGAGGCGCGGTGGTCGAGAGAACTGATGATGATGCACTAAACAAATTGCAAGGTGCCACGTGGACAAACGAAATGGCATTCAGCCAAATGCCATTTGTCACCTCATGCCAATGCCAGAACTTATTCGACTGAGAAGTGCATACTATCGAAGGCGCAGGTGACGAAGGGCGATATACCAAGATTATATAAAACAGCATTCTATTTAGCTGGAAACACACTTTTCACGTCTTTTACTACACCAATCACTTGAAAAACCGCTTCAGAACTTGTGTTTAGCTGGTAGACACCATATTTTGGATGCGACAGGCACCATTTTATATTCACTCTGCGAGTCTCACTAGCATTGCCTTAGGTTTCTACAATTAATTGCAATGTCGTAAAACAAACCAGTGAATTAAACCTAATGGCATTGTAATATGTTTATTTCTGCACGGCTATAACAGTCTGTCCAATTAAATTCATTATGCATGATGACCTCAGATGGGCTATAGCTACGGCAACTTGTTTGCCAATGCTGCCTATGGAGGGCTTAGCTCTGTGATACTACCTACCTCTACTGCCTCTAGTGATAACGGCTGCAGACTTTCAAGATACAACTACATTTCCAATGGACCTCCTCTTCATCCTTCAGGAAGCCGCAGGCTGCATGCTACCGTCGAGCAGTTAAGGCTTTGTTGTACTTCGATGTTCTTGATGTGTGCGCGTGTGGTACTTACATTTTGCCACAACGACACGCCACGTGCAAGTCTAGCTTTTCTGCGGTCCAAGTGGTCAACGTTCCGAGGCCACCAAAGCTGAAGAAGTGCATGTGCAGTGATCCTAAGATTGTGTCACACCACTAGGTGGTAACAGCAAAACTACATCCCTGTGCACGTGAGTCTGGCATGGCCTAGCCAGTTCTGTGCGCCATGCAAATGGAATTATTCAGAGGAGGGCACACGCGTGCTAACGCACAATATATATTTGCGCTAACTCCTGCAAGGGATGCGGGAGATTTTGTAGCGCTGATGCCCCGTCCCCACAGGGAGCTTGAACACACTGTGCTTAATTGCAGTAGAGTAATGCAGTGGCAGTGTGATGCTCTGTACTTGTGCCGTGAAGAAAGATACCTCTTAAAGAACCCCTGACACCAAATTTAGAAACTGGAGATGCTTGTACTGTTTGATAGTCCTGCATGCGGGGCCATCTCTGACCGATTCTTTGTGGCGAGGGTAGCATAGCAGATATTTTAACTTGGTTTTTATGTAAGGGTGCATGCTCTTCCGAGTGTTCAGGTGCAATCGACATTTTCTGTGGTTTGACGTAGACCGGGACTTCCCTTGTGACATTGCAGGGTCAGCATTTGCGGAGTGTGCACAATAACCTGACTGGCACCTGGTGAGGACTATTGTTTGCCACCTCTCTCGCTCTGTTGGCGAGCTACTCTCAAGGAGGTTTTGGCTGCTTACGCAAGGAATGCTCTTCTTTTTTTTTCTGAGGAGGGCACGCTCAAAAAACCTACATCGTTTCATTCTTCAGCGCACGCGGGTCTCCCTATTCGAAAACAGTCTCACGCTCTGCTCCGCTGTGGGGCGCTAGTTTCTTACGATATTTAAGCAGGCGTTTCAAACTCGTGCAAAATCGTTCTGAATTAATGCCGCTAACATTAATTATATTATGCGTTAAAGCATTTACGGTGCAATCTCGGCATTGTCAGACGCAAAGAAACAACTTACAGTAAAAAAATCGCAAGCAGAACTTTCGCTGTCAGAGGTCCTTTAATGCGCATGATCACTGATATGGGTCTGTGTCACCTTCTTGTATGACTTGTCCTTCTTTGTCTCGCACTCTAACTTCTTCATGCATCCTCCAATGATGCCAAGAAAAGCCATTTCTGCTTTCAGGCTTTGTTCCACACTCAATGTCTCCTGCGCTCTCTTTTGCCGCAGACCCCAACGGCACGTGGACACCGCACAAGGTAGAGCTGGTTCTCTGGGCACACTACGTCGCTCGGGAGCTGAAGCCGTCTCTCCTAGATGACCTTTCCAAGTACAAGGAGTCCGTGCCATCCGCCAACGGCAATGGACCCTCCGCCACCACCACATCAAGCGATGCGGCGGAGGACCACCACGACGTTGCTTCCAATGGCGCAGCCGAGGACGCACCCTTGTCATCGCCGTCCGACTCCCGGTCCAGCGCGGACCTGGCCCAGGTGACAAACGACGAGAGCTCCAGCCAGGACGGACCAGCCGAAAACAACGGGGCAGTGTCGACGGTGGAAGCTGGCGAGTCGGCCGAAGACGACAGTTCTTCGTCAGCCATCATCGCCGCAGACGACGCGGTCGTGCCAGATGTGACAGCGGGGAAAGGAACCAAGCGGGACCTCGAAGACGAGGAGTCTGCCGAAAACGACAAGAAAAAGGCGCGGGCGTGAAACTTTGTCGTCGTGCCCCACACCGTCCCACCCACCCCTCCTCGCCGCTGACACCACCTTTCGATGAAAAGAGAGAGGACTTGTTTATTTCTCACCTCCCATGTTTCCCTGTCCTCATATCAATATTTTTTTTTTTTTCATTTTGTTGTTCGTTTTCTCTTTCTGCCTTTTTCATCTTTGTTTCTCTGTTAAACTGACCTGTAATGTCATTGCATGACAGTCCATTTCTACTGACTTGTTCTTCTGTATTTTCCATTTAATTTTCTCATTACTACTTCAACCTTTTTTTTTTCCCTCCCTTTTTCATTTAGGAAAGAAGGTCACTTTTCATTTAACCTTCATTCCTTTGCCCTGTATGTACCTTCTCTTTTTTTTCCCCCATCACCACTTTTAGAACTTGTCATCCTGACCTCGGCATGTGAATTGCCACAACAGGCATCGAGATGCTACGGCGTCTGTTTTCTGTCGCCGAGATGTCAACACCCTAGGGACCTTTAGTCCTCCGGCCAGGTGCTCTTTCTTGTTCAGAACTGTCGAGCACTGTGCTGGTGGCTTTTTTTTTTTTTTCTTTGTTGCATGTCACTACCATCTTTAAGAGTTGGTCAATATAAAGAAAATGAATTTGGTAAACCAGCAACCACCCTTGACTCTGTTATCACTACCTCTGGTGACATCGTCTGCAGACTTTCAGGACACGTCTGTTGGAACATGCGCACTTTCTTACAATGCCCAGTAAAGAGAAATGGCGATGCTGACTCCTGATTTTTAAGAGTGGCTCGTAGCATGAGAGTGCTGGGATATCCGTAGGCATGAGGCAAATTTTTGGTGCATCTTATACCTTCGTTCAGTTCTTGAACGTTCTGTCTTGGCTTGCACGTTTTGTCGCAAGCCATTTGTCAGACTGCTGCCGTCCGGCCAATGACTTGAACACAAATGAAATGTATACAAGATTTGTTCCATGTTTAGAATGTATTGCAGTGCTTGCTAGGAAAATCTGGCACTGCTGTTACAGAACTTCCTTTTCTTAAGGTATCGTTGCATTAAGAAAAGGATGGCATGTGGGGGGTTATACTAGTATACTTTTGGGGTGTTGTTTGGTTAGAAAACCAAATGCTTTGTCAGTAACGAACTTTCCTAAGCTGTAATTCTGCGTACTACTTGTATGCTTGCTCACCTGTGATACGAGTGAATAAGGAAAATAAAAATTTTGCAATTGGCACACTCCTTTCCGTTAAAATCGTACTTCAGATTTGTCATCTGAGGTAGCTCGCACAATGCTCTGCAGAAGTGCAGCTGGTCTTCATCGTGCTGCCACCGCCAGCAGCTGGTCAGCGTCAATGGACCTTGGCCGGGTTTTATCACTTTACTGCCTAGTGCTTTACATGAAGACCAGCTGATATTCCTATTGAGAACTGGAAATGGGAAGAAGCTGTGGCTTGAAGCCATTTTGACTAGATACATCCCCTTTTTTTGATGGTTTGTTCATGTGGGGCTTCTCTTGCAGAACCACTGTTAAGCACTGTAGAACTCTTGGGACCTCCAGACTCCATTAAAATTAATGCTTATTGACTGCATTTGAAAGATTCCTTCATCTCCCAGTTTTCAATTCTGTGCATCCAAATCCAAATGCCTCATTTTTTTCTCTGGGACAGTTTGCAGAAGTCGTGCTGTTTTTTTCTTTGTTACTTTACCGAGAAGGCAGTTGAAATTTTGTTGCAATGCTCTAAAAACAATGTTCTAAGAATCCTATGGCAATATTTTTTTATGCATTCCTAAATTTTCTTGCAGATGTAGCCACTATCTGGTGAGCAATGCTAGCTGCTGGTGAGAGGAAGCAACCCAACAATCTTTCGTGTGCAATGACAGCTCAATGTGATGGTCACTTGGTAGCTGTTCAAGTTCTTGATGTACGAGAAGAGCCCTGGCACTTCTTTCTATTTTATTTGCCACTGCAAACTAAAGTCGCGCATACAAATTGCATGGCAAACTGGCAGTGAATTGAGTATAGTTGATGCTGCTTTTTAGCACTCTCATTACAGAATATTGTGAAGGCTTTGCTGTCAGGTCAAGCTAGGTTCCCCTTGTTCGCGTGGGAGCATCAACTGATGCTCCTGCTAGTGGTTACTTTTTCCCTTCAGAAATGGCCAGCAATTTTGGCACCAGTTCTTCAGCTGGGCATAGTGTAGCTTGCGTTGAGGCATCTGGAAAGACATGCCTCCTGAAAAAAAATTTGCACAGTGGTATTGTACTTAATGCTTCAGCTTGCGATGAAATGCCGCAGGCTAAGCTTTCAATTCTAAGGTCCCTGGGCCATTGACGTCTTCGGCTGTCGAAGATGCAGTGGCGGTGCGTGGAAGCCTGGTCACACAACGCCTTTCGCTTATAATCCGGACCACTGCGTCTATCTTGTGCCAGCACATGAAGGGTGATCCGGCACACTGGTTTCCTGTTACCTGTGGTATCCACCCCCAATCGCACACACAGACATTAATATCCTGTGTTTCCCTATTACGATGAATTTGTGGGAGAGTGTTGTCTTGCCTTAGGGCCTTAGTGTTGTTGAAATGGACGCTTTTTGCAAACTGGCAGGGAATGAATTGTCCGCGTCATTTTCTTTTTTTTATCTTCCCTAAACGTTAATTTTATAGCTACCATTTTTTACACACTTCCGACTTTTCTTTTGACACCTCTATCTCCTTCTAATTACACCAATGTATTGATTGCGTTCATCATGTTGGAGTGATTTTTTGCTCACTTTTTACAATAAATTAAAAGCAGAAAAGAAGTGTTGATTCTTATCTTCTTCCCTTCATTCTTCTTTAGTCTACTTTAGTACTGACTGCAAGAAACACAGGTGTCCTTGTGTTTTTATGCACCTTATAAGTAGTGGTATCATTCGAACAAGAAAAAAGAGCAACGCGTACTCGTTCATACGGCAACCATGGATGATGTATCGCATCAATGTGTCGGACCATTATGTTCCTGCACTGTTTCAATATGGCGACCTTCACAAGCTGTCCAGCTACACTTGCATCACACAAAACTACATGCATTCATTCCATAACAAACTCTACTGACATTTAGCAATGATGTTTGTTACGAAGAGAAAACTGTTGTAATACATTTGCCTTAGGGCCTTAGTGACATTTGAGTGACACTTGGCATTTGACTCATTTTTTACCATTACAAACACCTTCGCTCTGACGAAAGCGTTAAAATTTGAGCACTTCCTCATTTTCCTACTTGTCATCTCGCTCTTTCGGAAACGGAGAGTGCAACACCGCCCCCCTAAAGCGATGACCTTTTGCTGTTGTGCTGGTGGCCCATACAGCAAGTCTGTCCGTGTACTGATGCGCAGTGCTGTTCATAGTCAATGTAACCTAACGTTTCTGCACGTAATGCCAGTGCATTGCGTGTGGAAAGGTTTCTGCCGTCGCCGTCATGTTCCGTAAATGTGAGAAGTGCCAACTGTTAACATCGCAACGCACTTCTTGTTTTGCATGCGAGTAAAATCTCGCAAGCGCTGCCGATCTATGCCGCTGAAGCAGAGATGAAACTGTAGTTGAGTCAGCGGCATTTTTTCCTCGGAGGCGGACGCCCACAAGCCTGCACCAATGGGCGTGTAATAAAGACTTACGTCATGAGCCGGACGGCCGTTGACACCACCTGCAGAGAACTCTGCTGAGGGTAAGAGCGGGACTATTCAGTCGCTGAGATGACCGGCTGCCGCGTTTCGGTTGTCTGGGTGGGGCCTCTCCTGGCTCAAGTTTTCCTGCGTGAAGGGTGCATAGAATAACGTTCGTCGACAGCATCATGCTAGTGCAGCCGTCGATAGCTGTGCAAGCGGAGAGAAGGCCCGAAGGGGTGTGTCTCCAGGGGTGAATGCCTACTTCGACCAACCAATCAAGCTTGGTCGATCATAGCCGAGGTGAGTACTCGGCTCGTCTTCGTACGTGTTGTGTTCTCAATGGTTACTTCGTGTTGAGCACATGCCGCGCGAAAACCGCTTCGCTCGCTGGAACGGTCGTACATACTACATTCCAGTTTGTTATCGCATTCGTTGGTTTTGTCCACATGGCGGAACTGTGGGCTCTAGCGTGCCTTAATTATTTTGATTTGTTTTGTCATAGGGATGCTGTGAGCCCGTTACATGTACAGCAGCAAAATTTGTAGTCGGCTTCTCGATCAGCGCACGTACTGGTGCACCGGCTGTGCAGAAAAGTTCTTTGCTCTTGTGTGCGCATAGTGGAATTTCTCGGAAAAGCCGATTACAACAGTGTATTTTACAGCATTATAAATGAAGGCACGATCCTTGGTGCTTCTCGTGGTTCCTGCTGTGGCTTGCGAGCCCGTGAGGTAGCCGCTTGACTGAACGATCGATTGCTATACTTCGTTTACAAATATTCTGTGAAACACAAAACAATCTATTTCTCGTCTCAACAACGTCACCGTCTAGCTGAAAGATCGAGCCACCTTGTGGCGCTCACTATCACGACCAAGACAAGTGTGCAAGCGCCGACGCTGTTTTCTCGATATTTTCTTTTTTTTTTTTTTTTGGTTGTGTTGGGGCTTTGCAGCACAAGCCTGTTGCTTAGCAACAAAAAATGCTCGCCTATACAACCAGCACCACCTGGCGCACTTACAAAAATGCATTATTCTTGGCTTCAGACCAACTTTAAATCAATTCCTCCAGATGAAGTAATCTTAATCTCTTCCATTTCAAAATAATGAATCGGAACACGTTAATTACGATGGAAATGTTGTAGGCCCGTGTGCTCAGATTTGGCTGCACGTTAAAGAACCCCAGGTGATCGAAATTTCCGGAGCCCTCCACCACTGCGTATTTCATAATCATATCGTGGTTTTGGGAAGTTAAACCCCACATATCAATCAATCAACACGTTAATTACGACACAACAAAATTAGTGTTGCAACGTACCACTGCATATTTCTTGAACCAGATTCGCAATCATACTTTTAATTTTAGTCACATTTAAGAATGGGCGGTAGTAAATAGTTTTCAATATTTATTTTGCTTTTAATCAGGGTGCATACAGGTCTTTCAAAACCCTTGAGTTTAAAAATTGCATTTTCAAGGTCCTTGAAAGCCCTGGAATTTTTTCCAGTCCTTGAAAATCCTTGAATTTCCTGAGCACTCCCAATCAACATGGCGGCCTCCTTTATGTGGTAGATCGGCATACTTGCCAAGTCTCCCGGACATTTGTCAGGAAAGTGTCCCGGAAATTGAAACTTATGTGCGTGATCTGGCTGCATTGACAAAAATGCAGCCCAAGCCTGGTATTTTGCTCACCCATCGGGAGGTTTTCAATGTCCATTGGGCCAAAATTAAGATGTTCCGAGCTCTTTTCCTCTTCGCAGTGGGTCGTATAAACCTTTAGTGCCGAAACCGGGGAACGAAGGTCGAGAGATGCGTGCTCGAAGCTTCGGTAGCATGCACTGTCAGAACCGCGCGGTTGTCATTTTCCACGAACCGCTTCCAAGTCGCTCGAGATCTTGACACGATGTGGCGACGACGTAACTGACAGGAATCCGAAAGTGCAAGCCCGTTCAACGCTCGACAAGTTAACGCTACCTTACTTTTCACAAACGCGGCGGAAAAATTTGCGGCAGATGCGATCACAACAAAAGAAAAAAAAACAACAACTTAGTTTTAAAGGCACGTGCGCAGGTAGCTCACGTACATTGAAAACGAAACTACCGTTTTCCGCAATCGCCGCGTGCAAAACCGTGGTTGCGGTGACGTGATTACTAGCCTATGTAACCGAGGGAACGCGGTGGTAAAAGCGACAAATATGTGTAAAAAAAGAAATGCTAAAAGCGTTTTAGCGTACCTGTTTAAAGAGTCTAGTATTGCTGTTCCTGTCGATCTGTATGATTGAATAACTCTTATTCTGGACACTAATTCCGCCATATTGTCAAATTTCGTAATGGCGGCATTTTAAGCCATCAGAAAGGTCGTAGCGGCTCACTTGGCCAATTAGCATCGATTAATAGCGGAATCTGACAACATGGCGGAATTCGACAATGTGGCAGCCAGTGCGATGAATAAAATTGATATTACATCACCAAAAATTACGGGTTTTTTAGGAGCAACTCCTATAGCGTCTTGTTGGAAGTTTTACTTCATATTGTGAAATCATGCCGGCGCGAACGGCATTAGCTCCGTGACCAAATACACTGCAAACAAATTTACAACTAGCTGTGCACCTAGGAAGTAGGCAGTGTACATTAGCTTCCTAGTCATGTTAGCATTTTAATGTTGATATCTCATCTTAGTGGTGCATTTTAAGTCGCCATTTCATTCCGTGCCTTTAAGTTAAGGTTATCATTTTTATTCGAAGATATGAGCAAGTGGCTTTAATTAAGGACCTTCACTGGAACGAGTTCCAAGGGTGTGGGGAATCAGACAAATTTACAATTCGGAAAATCACTTCTGTGGCTTTACAAGCCGGCACATACACGATTACAAGGCACGCCATAAAATGAGACTATAAATATTTGTAACCATAAGTCAGCAAAATAAAAAGATGCCCTTATTAAATAAGTTTTTTTTTTTCGCACAGGACTCACAAGAACCCAGACTGACCAAAATTTCGCTAAATCGAACTAGGAACCCGCTCGAACTCAGACTCATCGTGGTGAAACTCAGCCGGGCTCACTCGAACTGCTTACCTAAGTACAGTTCAGCAGGACTCACTCAGACTCTGTCTCACACCTCAATCTGAGTCTTTCAATTCATCTGATAGACTCATCAGTGACTTTCCCGACTTATAATCGGAACACATCTCTCGTTCACGTCACGCGTTGATGAAGACCTTTTGTGTGCGTTCACGATGGTGAAATATGGGAGAATTAGGAAGGGTGGTTGCGATGCCCACATGACGATAATATAGGGATGACCTTTCCCGATCTACGTAAGAAGAAACGAACGAAAAACACGAATGCAGCGTAGGAACTAGGAAAGACAAGTGCTGAACTTACAACTAAATGTTATTAAAGAAAGCCCCTACAATAATTAACCAGAAGCACATGCTTAAAAAAGCTATCGAAACCACGGTTGCACAATTAACTGTACTTTTTTTTCCAGCAAATGTTTCAAGGTGGTATGAAACAGCCGATTTTCATAGAACACCAAAATATCAATGCCAAGTATACCCGCTATCTATACCGCGAGTTTTTTTTTTTTTTTTTTTTTTACCTGTGAGGAAAGCTGGGGGATCACTCACACATACAACTTTGCTTTGTTTTTATTTCGAAGGCTTCACGAGTTTCGCGTTCGATCTTTTTTTTTTTTTCACCTTTTCCAATAGCACACAATGATTTGAAAGAAATTCCTTTGTAACGTGGCCGTGTCTACAGAGATCAGACGGGTGGAGGCCACCTATATATAGGCAGTGTGAACATCCTTCAGGCAAAAGACTGACCTCTTCGCTAGTCACTGCGTCACCAATATATCAGTGTCACCGGGAAAGGAAGAAATATATCGAACGTGAAGATTTTGAAGCCTTAAAGGAACAAAAAAAGGGCAATGTGCAACGCATGTATAAGTGATCCTTCAGTTGTCCTTACAGCTAGATAAGGGGGTTCGCGTTGCTAGGTAGCGGGTGCACGTGGCGTTGATCACAGGAAGTGTGCTGGTTGCACCATTTTGACACGCTTCTTGCCTTTGTAGTGTTAGGTAAACAGCTGTGGAACGCCTCAGCCTATTTTTCATGAATGCGCTTCGGGTACATGGGTTTGTGGACTTTCCGCCATAAACCTTTCGCTCGATGTCCTGTCACGTTGAGCTCCTTAGTTTGTTGTTTCAAAAATATTATAAACCAACTCGCTGAGCAAGCTATACATATGTGGTGTCCTTTTTGAAAGACGGTTGTGACAAATCGGCATCTATAGTTAGTTGAATTAAGTCTGAGATGAAAACTGGTGGAGGAAAGGCAGCTGATTACTTGGTTTCATAGCGCGGCGCGGAGCATCGCACGGTGTGCAGTACAAAGCACGTTGAAAATACAAGCCCACGCTTCAGTGTTTTGTCCGCATTCGTCTTTTGTGCGTTACTTCACAGTTCACACAAACTTAATTTATGGTGATCACCATTTCGTCCAATATTGTTGATCTTGCTCAACCTGCCGATACGATGGGGAAAGTTTCTGTTTGATAGAGAATTTCGTATAATAATTGTGATTTTATCTTTTTTTGTCCATTAAAAGCCATGCACGTGGTCTAGTTTCTTGACTATTTTCTTTTTTTTTTGTAAATATGCCTTAAACAGCTAGCCCTGCCTCAGTTATAACAATATCTTTGCATTGCACTTTGCACATCTGCATTGCACATCTGCAATGTGCATTGCACATTGCACTTCTACCCTGCCCGTCCCCAGTTATGACCTCCACCCTTCGCATATGAGCTGCCTTTGTTCTTTTAGACTCGCTTGAACAGTCGCAATTATGGATGTTTCAGTACCAACTTTCCACACCTTTCATCATTGTTCAAAGCCCACCTCACATATTCTTGTCAGCTAGAATATGTAGACAATCATCGCCAAACACCACTGTTGGTGCTGTCACTGACCGGGGTTCTCTGAAATACAATGGACTCAAAAGTATCTTAAGATTCACGTTTAAATCTAGTCCAGCATGATTAGGAGCGCTCGACAAGTTTTTTTTTTTTTTAATAGTCCACTTTTTTAACTTGAAATGGCAGGGGAACTAATTTCGATGCGTTTGCGAAGTGGAGAGAATTAAGGCCAGACTGGTGAGTGAAGGTGCAAACTAAACGTAGGTTAGCTGAAAAAAAAAAAAAAATCCTCTTTAAATGGCGCGTCGAGGGAACACGTCGGTGGTGGCGGCGCGCCGATCGGTTGGCGTCAGCAGCGGCGGCGTAGCAAAAACTGTCGGCGGCATGGAAGAAGGAAGAACTTTTTTTTTTTCTTCCTCCATGGTCGGCGGCGACGCGCCGACCCCTCGGCGCACACCTCAAGCTGTAGTTGGGAAACCCTAGATTTGGGTGTTTCAGCCATCCAAGCTGAAATGAGACCGCGCAATGCCGATGTTTACTGCCCTCTTCTCCTGCTTTTTTTTTTCGCAGTGTTTTTTTTCTGTGTGTGTGCGAAAAAAAAGGGGGGGGGGGGGCAAATAAATCAGCGCGACCTCCCCCGCCCGTTGCTGAAATCTCCCAAATTCAGAATCCTTGAACTTGGCTGGTATGGATCGGCATCAAACTGACCAACTGCCCATTTTCGAAACAGTAATTTGGCGTTGATATGGTGTTCTTTTCCAAAACATGAATGGACAATAAAGTTTTACCACGAACAAACGAGGTGAGAGACTCGTAATGCTTTTTGGTCCTGGCTCATTCCCTATTGTGCAAGAAGTAAAGCTAGTGAAGCTGAAGTGGGCATAAGTGCATACTAGACTAATGTTTGTTATAACTGCAACACATATATTCATGTACTATAAAAATGCAATAAAAATGAGTCAATTTTTAAAATTTAGAGTGAAAAAATTTCAACATTGTGTGCCACTTTTAGTCCTTAAAGAACCCGTGACGGGTACTAGGAAAGTCCTCGAATATCTTTGATTTTCTGCTTTGGAAACCTGTACGAACCCTGTTAATGTTACCTTTAGACCTTCAAGCCTTGCACAAACCGAATATTTCTTCATTACAGTCACTATGGCATCAACCCTTGTGTTTACAATTTTAAATATGACATTATTGTCCACTGAATGTCAGACCAAACAAGGTTTGTATCTAGTCTACTATAACTTATAACCAAGTCAGTATTTGTTATCACAATGTTGTATAGTGAACCCTTGTGATTGCAGACTTCGTAACTGCCATAACTGCTTATGTACAGGTTCGCATCCTTTGTACATGTGATATTTTTCACTTGGGGCAGTGATGCTATGGAAAGTTATCGTATGGACCCAGTGACCACGTAATTTCAATTATTCTGTGCTGGTAAATCAGTGTAAAGATCACGAGTACCTGTTAGCATGCTTCAGCCCAAGACAGCTGTATTCATTATTAACGAGTTTGCAGCACAATGTTGCAGATAAGCTTGCTAGAACAAATCCTAGTTTGTAATCTGTCAATATATGGAGTGCACAAGAGAACTGTGCAGCTCAAATTATTAATTCTCGCCCACCCCTGAATTAAGCCTCTGAACCTACCACATCGTGAAGGCATCATCTCTACGCAGTTTTGCCGATTAAGATCCAGGCGTGCATGGCATGAATAGCATAAATGACAAGACGCCAGTGCAGCCGTCTCTTCTGAATATGAGGTTATGCGGGGCATTACACAAGTGACTCTGCCTGCACTCGCTAACTCTGCCCAACTATCTGGTAGTATCAGCTTATGAAGGAGTACTACTTCACTACTGCTGCATTTTTCATCAAGGAAATCCAATGCAAAGTTTTTCTACACCTTATGAAGGTGTGCTTGAAGGTGAGTGCTTGATAATGTTACATTAGGCAACAACACTAGGAGAACACTTGAAAAAACACTTCTAAGTCAATGAGTCTTGGCACACAGCCACTCTAGAGTGTAGCGACACTAGTTGCTTCTACAGAACACTTTAGTTATGCTTGTTGTATCAAAGAAGGTGCGTGAACGAGTGTAAACGTTGCCTCCGGAGCTTAGGCACAATGTTCACAGCAAGATGAAGCTACACTAGCAAAACTTAAACAAGAACCTCTTACATAGTAAGGCTCTGCATCGGAGCTAATGAAGGAAGTGACAAAAGTCTATGTTGGGACAACATAAAATTTATTCCCGAAGAGTGAAGTAACAGCTTTACAACAAACACACTCTTGTGCCTACAAGCTCGGTGGCAAGAGTGCTTCTTCGTTGCAGTAATACTTTGCAAGGCTGCTCCTTTCTTTTGAGTATCGGGCTTTGAGGAACGTCAGTTGCTCCAACTGCAGTCTCGAGTTCAGACAACAACAATAGCGAAATTGCACTCTTGATCCGCACGGTACTGGGCCTTCAAACTTCCCGTGTAGCTAGAATATCACATGACTCAAGCCAGCTGTTGAAGTTCAGAGCCATTTTCTTTGGTTTAGGCTGAGACCACACTGAAGGAGCCCTGTTCAATTGAAATGGGAAGCTACAACCTAAAAATTGCCTAAAAGTGGACGCAGCACCGCACAATCTTCTTGTGTAGCATAGGTACTTTGTTCTGTGCATCGTCTGATTCAAACCAAAGCACTTGCCCTATGGCCACTTCTGTCTGTCACTGAAGTTATCTGCATTGAACTTGAGTACAATTTATGCACAAATCATGCGAAGGTAGCAGGGTGAAGACAAGGTTGCTTGAAAAGCAGCATGTCGCAGAAATCGGGTAAAGAATTGATGAGAATTCATTGATGCGTTTGTGGTTTAGAATGCACGTCAGGCTCCAGGTAAACCAAGTAACTTGCTTAACATGAAAATATCACAACTGTAATATTCCTTTATTTCTTCTAATATGTTGAAAATTGCGTGTACTGGTTTTTGCCTAAAGGGGCCCTGAAACACTTTTACACGTACCCACTGAACAGATTCACCTAAAAAGCTCATTGACTCAGGAATTTACAGCCACAAAAATAGTAAGAATCCGTCCAGTACGAACGGAGTGACAAAGATTTGTTGCACACTGCCATCGCATTTTCTCTTTTCTTGCGATTAGCGATATCAGGCTGACCTCTCTACCTTTCTATAAATAAATTCTCTCTCTCTTTTCTTGTCCAGATGAAAGCACTGGAACCTGGGAGGATGGCATGGGAAAAGAAAATATGTCATGTGCGGCTCGTGACTTTGAGCACTTTTTTTTCTTTTCTTCGAATACGTGGCTTTTTCAGGGTGATTGTGCGCGCACGCGTGGACAAGTCGTGGCGATGCCTGTAACGACCGAGCACGCTATGTTCAAAAGAGTCGGTGGCTGATAGAAGGCCTTCTAAGAATGATTTTTAAGCATCTTCCTTCATTTGTCAAGAGAGGAGAAAGCAATTTTCAACTTGCTCTGATAATTTATTGTGAATTTCAAGCCGCGTGCTGCGCTACATTTCGCTCGCGTGTTCTGAGCAGCCTCTACTACCGAATCAACAGTGTTTCCTGACCAAGCTCAAAAAGTGTAGCAGGGCTTTTTTTTTTTTAGGAAGTGACAATTGATTTTTCTCGTATCCGTTTTTTATGACGTAATACGAACCCCCTCGTCAGTAGCGGTTGATTCAAAAGTGCATAGATATTTTGTAAGTCCTAATTTTTTTCATTCGAGAAGCCATAAAAGATTTGGAGGTTGCTTTTTCACTTTCAAGAGTAGAACGCCATAGTGTAATGAGACCATATTCGTCTACTGCCTTCCCAATCGCTAGCCTGGCTTCATTCTCAGCCAGCACCAAACATCTGAACGAAAATATGAAACTGCACCTCATGAGAAAAACAAGGCTCAATTTAGCCCCTATGATGTACAATCCTCTCGCTTGTGAGGTTATCTAAATTCTAGTTAGAAGCAGCTGTCTGTTTCTGTAAGACACACGTTTCAATAATTACTGGAACTTGCTAAGTGTCCATCATTGAGTTAGGCCGCTGAAATGGAGGTCGCAGGTTCGATCACAGCCACGGCTGTTGCATTTCGGTGGAGGCGAAATGATAGAGGCCCGTGTACTGTGCGATATCGATGCAGGTTGAAGAACACCAGGTGGTCGAATTTCCGAAGCCCCCCACAATGGTGGGCCCTATAATCATATTTTAATTTTAGGGACGTAAAACCTCAAACATTGTTACTGGAACATGCCACCGATAATTGCACTGAATTTTTACAGCTATCCTTATGTAGCAATGGCTTGACAGGCTCCCAGGGTATATCACTGCTAGGAAATGGTGCCTCATACCGCCTTCTGTATTTCTGTGTCATATATAGCTAAAGCTTTAGCTGATGGTTTCACTAGAAGCAACCTGTCACTAATATGGCTTACCACTAATTGGCTGATCCCATTGCCTGCTTATCTCTTTCCCAATACGTTCTCATTTGCAATAATTCACGTAGAGCTTAACCTACATTAGATCATGTAAAGCATCTAATGTAAATCATAGGTTCGAGTCAGAATTTTAGCAACCTTGAATTTTAATTCCAATTATCGAAAAAATGAGTTCGTGGTTCAGTCAAATATGGTCAAGAACAGAATGGTGGCTCACTTCAGGCACAAGCATGCTAAAACACAGTCAAAATATAAAGGAAATAATTCCATGCAAAACAGGAAACTTATGCAAAGCATCAGGCAAATAATACAGCACTGCAATCAAATAGAAGCACTTAGCTAGAAGATGGCAAAACTGGATGATCAGGATGAATAGAATTGTTGATCGAGTTTTCACTAGAACTGTTATTAATAGCAATGATGGTCAGTGGTCTGAATCAACAACGCGATCTGTCGTGCGATTAATAGCCACAAGAATAGGCAAGACGCACAAAAGCAACGTACACACAATGGGACCCTGTTCTTTTAAAACTTTCTGCACTTAGTCTGACTTTAGCAGCGCTCGAATATATATATATTTTTTTAATAAATATTAGTAAATGACACCTAAGTTACACCACAAAATCTTTGTGATTACACTCAAAGAAAGAAACTAAAAAAAGTCTGATGGCAAACAAGGTGTTTCTTCCCTGCGTTATAAATTGCCTTATGCTGATCATACCAACTCACCTAACGGCCTGTCTTCTTTCACACACATCACTTCAATTCCACAAAAAGGTCTCTTTTTTTTCATTTTCACTCTGTAAAACAAAGACTCACTCCCCTTCTTCGCTGTGACAACCAACCCCGAGTCCACAGACGCACAACATGAAAAGTTCTCTAAACAAGTGGCCCATTTTGCTGTTGACAGGCAACGAATACTGATGCCTCTTCTTGGCTACGACACAGCAACCTGGAGCAGGGGACCCTCGAGATACTCGACCAGGGCACGCGCCTTGGCCCGGAGCAGACCCTGTCCCACGCTGGTTTTGGCATGCAGGCACAGAAGCAAGTTGGCAACCTGGGTGATAGCCACCTGGCCGTCCTGGTTATATTGAGAGAGAGAGCAAAAAAAAAAGAGGCGATTTTAATACCTTCAGCTTGGATATTTGAGGGGTGGAATTGACATAATGTGCCTTTGAAGCCGTCCTGGAATAGCGCGAAAATGCTCATTTGGGACAGATTTTGCCGCTAAAATACTCATTTCACAACTGATAGAGCACACAATAATATTTTTAGTTGAGTTTACACTTCATACTTTAACTTCATTATATAAAGGATAAACTGTATATACATCAAAGTATTAATATTATGAATCAAAGGAGGCTGGGGAAGTATCAAGAACTAGAACAGGTTTATGCCAAAGAACATTTGACTGATATGCACAAATATATCTGACTACAGTAACTTAAAGGGGTACTGACACAAAATTTCGCAGCCTATAGCCTGCAGGGATCAATTCCCATGAATATGCGTATATCATCTGTAAAGACCAATAGCAAATACAGGTAGTTTGAAAGGTATATTACGCGAGTTTTGAAGTTTGCATGCGTTCAGTATTGACACCATCAAAAGTAACACCCTACTTCCTTCACAACATCATGCTGCATTCAATACAAGTTATGATGATGTCGTAGCTGTCATTTTTTTTTCTCTGCCGTGGTAGCTCCAGCAGACTGCCACTTCACAGCTGCTAGAGTGCATAGCAGCTGCACACGCAGCGAAAAATTTGTGTTTGGCGATACTGCTTTCCAGTTTCCTATTAGAAAGGATGGCTTGATGCGGACTGTGTGGAAGTGCATCACAGTTCTGTGTACAGATGTGGTCGAGCGTTGCACAAGCTAGATTGCAATAGCTGCACCCGGTGGCTTGCCATTTATGGAGCTCCCTCAAACTGAAATTAAGACTGGTCCGTGATGAGGAGGCTGTAGTTATTTGTTGTGCCCTGTAGCAAACGATGTGCCACGTTACGACTAACAGGCTGCCAGCAACAAATTGCAGCAAAAAAAAAAAGCACGAGGCCAAAATTTTTGTGTCAGTACCCCTTTAATAAATAAATCTATGGAAGTACGCAATTTGCATAGCGCATGAAATAGAATGCAGACAATAGACACATTTTATATTTCATCTTATTGTGCTGATCGCTTGGCATAGCATAGAGTACGATTTATTCTAAATCTACAGCAGTTATTTTTTTGTCTGTGAAATCGTACATCCAGACTTTTACTTAGTTTGTGTCTCTACAATTTCTGTACAATGCATGTATTCTTTTATACATTTCAGTGCTGCTCCATTTGATTAAGGTAATGTGTTTTTTGTTGTAATTAGCTTACCTCATACAGCATGTGTGATATTAATTTTATATGATGCGACTAATGTGTTTTGTATTATGTTTAAATCTCTACAGCAGTGCTGAATGCCAGCCAAAGCAGAAGCCCTCTGTCTTTTAAGCCTGGATGGTCTCCTAGTACGCCCAAATAAAAAAAAATCAATACAAGAACAGTGTCCTCTCCTAAAATCACCCTCTTCCTAGGTACCATGGCACCTCGAGGTGATCCAGACATGTGGCATTCTTTTCGGATATATTACTGCTTAATGCCTTCCCATCTAACCCCCGAATGCAGAGATGTTACTTGGCTCGCGACTTCAACTTAACTTGAGCAAGTAGGCGTGAAGCAAGCAGTGGACTTCAAAACGCCCAAGTCAGCCTTCGCGTTTCATAGATGCTCAGGCTGCCTTGCTTGGTCAAGTCAAGAACGATCTTCAAAGCAGAAACACGCTGCTCGCCTGCTAACGAGGGTAATAATGAAGTTGTTCACGTAAGGCATGCATTACATTAAAAAAAATACTGTACGTTTTAAAATAACTATAAGAACGAAGGGCCACAAGCATATTCCTGCCATTTTACGGCTAACGAGCGGCACGTGGTGCCAGCCGTCACAGCGATGCGCAGTGTTGCTTCTGTGAAGCGTTCGTTGCCCGCTGATTTCAGTGGCCGCCCAAATGCGGCGCGTTTCTCCACGGTTGCTTGTTTGGAGGTGAAGCAAGCATCGCGTTGGGTTCTTTCATCATTTGTTTTTTTTCGATCGAACGCCACGGCATGTATTTGTGCTGACTTGGCTCACGAGGTGACGCAACTTTTACGGTATTTGCCTTTCTGTTCGCCTGTGTGCATGCCTGTAGTAGTGGGCTAGGTCGCAGTTATATATGGAAAAAAAAAAAAAAAACAAGTTCTGGGAACAAATGTGATTCGTATCCTTTTGTTGAGCTTTGTAAACAAAAGAAAAAGCGGGGGTCAGGACATTGTCCTCAGCAGAATTCTGTCTCGCGGGGTGCAGCAGTGTCTCCCTGCATGGTGGTGAAGCGGATAAAAAAACCCGTGATAAGAGCACCTCTTTTTTATGTTTGTGGAATTCTACGTAGCGTTGTGCTACGAGCGATGCCTTTCCGAGCGAGAAACAGCGCCCTAGACGGGGCAAAAGGATAGACGAGGCACACAGACACAGCACCGAGTCAATTTTGTACCGAAAGAGGCGGAAATTGTCGTGTTTAAGAAAAACAGAAATGGCCTTTGCGCTTACGGAACACTTTGGCGTCGTCCCCACTGAAGCAATTAATACGCACGTGTGTGTAGTCGACACAGCCTACAACACCAGGGAACTCAGCCACATCATAAAAGTCCCGCATAACTATAGAAAGTGCTACCGGCTGCAGAAAGTGCACCAGCATTGCGTACAGGTGCTTTGCGATGAGTAGCGTAACTTTTCCTACTGCATGGCAAACAGTCGACTACGGAATGCGGACGAGATTCCCGGTGACTGTTTGGAATGTGCCAGCGCCGTAAAACCCGAGAGCCATCAGTAGCTGTAACACTGGGGGCACAGGCTGTCCTCGGTTGTCCCCACTTTCACGGAGCGGCAACATACCCAGCAGCTGCAGCACGGCGTTCTTCGTGAATCTGTATCGAGCGTGAAATTGTTCCTCGTTGTACAACTCCATCGGATTTCCTTGGTCACGTAGAGCAGGTCCAAGATTCTTCGGCAGGCGGTGGGCTTCAGAAAATGCTACGCTTATGGCGAGGCAAGCAAACTCAAAAGCGGCCACCCTCCGCGCGACGTCCATTCGAGAGGTGGCCATGTTGGAATAATGTACGAAGTCGCTTTCAAGCTAGCCCCGCAGCTGACTTGAAACTTGTCCTGACTTCGACCGAGCCAAGTCGCCTTCAAGTCATACGCAAGTTCGAGAACGATTTATGGCGACTGGCAAGACTGTCTTGAGTCAAGTACGAGTCAGGTAACATCTCTGCATTCGGGGGTAATTACCAGTTTTACAAAGTGTGGAGAATGTTGGTTTTCTGCTTCACCCCATATGCACAGTACCGCCTTCTACAATACTAGTTAGAACATGGCCCTTGGGGCTCGCAGTGAATGCATGCTGCAAGTGATGCCCTTTTACACGTTGTCATGGGAGGCAGAGCTATTACCTCACACTCAACGATGACAAGCCGGAGTTGACCCTCACTGATGGCGGCGTGTGCATTCTTCTCGTTAGCGAGCCAAATGCTGCTGGCAATGGCCGCTGTCATCTTGGCGTCCTTGTCTGCATAGCCAGAATAAGCCAGCAAGGTGCCCTCTCTGTTCAGCAGCCTGGAAAGAAGACATATGCAATGAATTCTGAAGTTTCAGAACGGGGAATACGTTTAGGACACCAGAGGGGTGTATATGTGCTTTAAAGAGATACTGAACGAAAATTGGCAAAACTGACGAAAACATTCAATTTCTACTCGGAAGATGTGACTGTTCCGATAAACAGAGTTAACTTTAAGGATTTTTGAACAGCTGGCTGTACTTTGGTGGATTGTCAAAGTGTGGCGGCTGCACGCGAACACGAACCACGCCGTCGCGATCACCAAGGCGCACTCAGAGAGCACATGTTCCTAACCTCCTTACCCTTTTCTCAACTTCTAGTTTCACCCAACTCTCCCCCTGCCACAAAAGCGTTGATGCTTCACCCTAGGCGGGAGCATTGCTCGCTGTCCGTGCTGCTTGTAGTGGTTCTGGGAACCATAGAGGGATCCGAGTAGGTTGAGAGATAAGGGTGATGGGCTGGCACTGTTCGCATACTCGTTTTCGGCGTTTGTGACGTGGCCAAACGTCACATCTACGAGTTCACAGCATGGCCACTAGACGTGGCAGTTTCTAGAAAAATGCATCATACTCATTATTTTCCTTTAGTTACTGCCTGAAATGAAGGGCGCACCTATCTATTCAAGCACCCAATCTTTCAATTTGGCTGCCGATCTTAGTGTCAAAAATTTGGTTCAGTACCTTTTGCACAGTGTTGCCATAAATATTTTGCAACCATTCCGAGATGCCAATTTCACACTAGCCAACGAAGTGCGTCCCTGCATGCATACTAAGCCAAAAAAGAAAAAAAATTTAGAGTTTCAAATGCCAGAAAAACCAAGACATCATTACGAGGCACATTATCGATGGCTTTCACGAGACATCCTTCCACCAAGAACGGCTGTACTGAGAAATCGCCAGTCACCTTGATTTCTTCATCCTGTGCAGTGCTATCCACACATTAACAGACTCCAAGTGTTTTCGTGACTTTTTGGATGCAACACAGCCTGTTCTCAGCACAGAGGCGTGACGTGGCAGTCTGCCATGTTTTAGGCGTGACATGGCAGACTGTTGGATCAATTTCGGCCACCTGGCTTTGCTTCATGCGCAAGGAAGTCCATGTACACAAGTGTACTTGCATTTCGTATCAGCCGAAGTGCGGTCGCTGAGGCAAGGTATCGAACCAGTAATATGACTGGCTATGTAGGGCCAATTGGTGCATCGTAACTTGGAAGACGTGGCGCAAGGTTAGAACCGAGAAGAACCAAGAAGAGACCAAAAGAACTAGGGCTCTTTCTGTCGCTTCATCGTTTTAACTTTTAATGAAAAAACCTGAAACCTTTCCTGAAACCTTTCTGTACCTTGCCGGACTGCGGGTTCAGAATTTGCAACGATGATGCGCATTATAACATCGTCGAAGGGGAACGCTCACCTTCAATGAAAATCAACAAAAATGAAGCCCATGTAACTACAGGAGTCGCTGTTGCTAGTAATTATGTATATTTGTCCACAAACAAGCGTTTACTCCTTATGTTTTTTTTTTTTTTGTGCTCTCCCCGCATGCTTCTGTTCCGCAGCTGCGCCAAGGGGGCACACAAAGGATTAGAGGGTGTCCCGCCACTAATCTGGTGTCCCCATTTCTTGCTACGCGCGTTCGAGCAAGAGCTTACGCAGCATCTCAACCAGCCGGTACCTTTAAACCACAGTGAAGTCAATGCACCGGATAGATTCACGCGATGCCACGTACACCCCAACTGGGTGTACGCGCAATCAAAAGGCCTACCTATCGCCGCTGCGTGTTCAGCAATATTATATCTGTAGCAATATCAAAGCGCTTATCAGGTTGAATGAAATGATGCGAGTGAGCTACTTCGAGCAAGCAAAAAACAGGCGTTGCTGACTGACGTGACTCAGTTCGCTAGCACGAAGCCGCCCCCACAGTAGAAAGTTCCTTCGAATAAATCACAAAAGAAGCCCACAAGAAAAAAAAAAAAAAAAAAGCTTCGGTCCACCGAGGAAAACGCAAGCACACCCACACACCAACTCACAGAGTGCACAATACGCCGCTTGTGTTGGCCTGCGACAGGACTTGAGTCAACGCCCGTGGCTTCAGCATTCTTCTTCGCGATGTTCTTACGACAGTCGGAGGGTCACTGATCACTTCGACTGGCCGATCAAGTGCCCGAATCCAATGTCAAACGCCGTCAGATCAAGACGGTAATCGCATCAACACAAATCATGTGACGAATGCACAGTGACAAACTACGTTACAAAATAAAACCAAACGCTCAAAATGGCTGATTCAGCCTGTTATTCACAGCAACTCACACTAGTGCAAGCATAACATTCTTGCTAAAAACATAAAAACAACTAAATTTATTTTTAAACGTCTGCCAGCAATTAAAAGAGCATACGCATGTTTTGTATATGAAGTAAAAAAAATGTGCGACGAAACAAGTTCACGGATAAAAGCAGCCAAGACGCAGTTCCACATTTAAACATGGCGGCGGCCAAGCGAGTTGCAGATGACACGGTCCGCTACTATTTGTTTCCAAAGCTCGAATACCCCACGACTAGACTTGACAGACTAGAGCTTGAAAAAAGGGCCGAGCTGTACACGGCAAAGCTCTTGCCGCTCATCACCACCTACATCTGGCAGGACGAACAGTTCAACTTGTGCGTCGTCGACGCACAAAGAGGTGAGAGGGCAGAATTCGCGCAGGGAGCGTCGGTTACGATTGAAAGGCGCACCATTTTTTATTTTGCCTTGTTTTCATATTTAGACGGTGTTCCGCCACACCTGGAAGGTAGCACGTACTTCGGCGACAACGTCGAGGACGAATGGTTTGTCGTGTACTTGCTCTATGAGCTCACCAAGGATGACAAGGACTTGGTCGTCAAGTAAGCTCAATGACTCCTCTCAATTGCTCTCGACTAAGTGCGTCGATACAGTGTTTACTGGATTTCCCGAAGCAGTGTATCCACCCGCAAATATGTTCCGTAGGTTATGCAGCGAGTAGATGACCTGTGACGCACTGTCATCGATTTGGCGCGGCTTGACTCACCTGGTGTTGGAATGACGTCGTTGCCATAGCAACAGATGATGAAGAGCAGTCGAACGAGCAGTTTCTTGGCCAATTCCTTAGAGTGGGTGTGAGCCATGCATTTAGGCCATCATCACCGTGATAATCGAGTGGTTTTCCACGCATAGTTATTCATCCAACTATACAAGAAGTGACGGCAACGGTAGTGTCCATAACCTCTCAGGGAATAACTCTGTGAATAAAGCTGCGTCCGTTGATCCTGTGTGACTGTTAGTACGAGTAGCTACACGCTTGTGCCAGTACTTTCAGTATTGACCATTCTGCTCCGTCTTTACAAAAATATGTGCATGCGCACTCTCCACCCCGAGGCAGCACATAATTCAGTTACCTTGTTCACGTGTGTCATCACTGACATTCTTAAATTGACACTAGAAATAACAAATGACTGGTTTGCGTTTCCAAGTAGAACCACGGCTAATGCTTTACTTTCTTGTTATTGAAATATGATCATAGTTTCATAAGTCTCAACAATACAATGCTAAAGGACAAGTGGGGCAGGCTAGGACCAGTGATGACTGAAACATGTAGCATTTACAACAATGAAATACCAACATCTTAAGCTTCAAGCAGAATTCGAGGAACCACACAGGGCACATGACATACGGCTTAAAGGGGCCCTGCAACACTTTTCTAAGTAGCTATGGAATTGATCCATTAAAGGGTCTTATTGCTTCATGAATTGACCGTGACAAAAACTTCTCACATCCGTCCAGTACGAGCGGAGTTACAAATATTTATATCACGCTGCGATTGCTTTCTTTCGTCCTAACGAAAGCACTAGAAGCTAAGCAGCGAGGAATGACACGGGAGAACGTGTGCCTTGTGGCCTTGAGCAATTGTTTTCTTTTGTTTTTATTCTAATGCATCGCTTTTCAGTGTGCACGTGCGGGCACAATGTGGCCTCTCATGGTGGCCCCAGTAACCTTTAAGCGCTCCACACTCAAACCAGCCATTGGCATGATACTTTGGCCTATGACGCAATGATTTTTGAGTATATAGCACCATTTGTTCATTTCCAGGTTACGTGTTAAGCTATAAAATTTGGCACGCGTGTTCTCGGGAGCCTCAAGTACGGATCGGCAGCATTGTCTGACCATACTCAAGAAGTGTTACTGGGTTCCTTCAAAGAGAAAAATTTGCATTGATCCACTAGGTTGGCAGCACAGACTTGTTTAATCGTCATTATTTTGGCTCTGTTTTGCTCTGGACAGCCTGAATCTACTTTGCTGTAAGACGAAGTTCCGCAAAGGTTCAGCAGTTGCGCTTCTCTGTCTTGACCTATTTAGGCTCATCAATTCGAATAGCCTCAATAAGTTCACTGGGGTACATTCGTTTCATTAAACAAAGCCAGAACACAGCGGTAAACAAAGCGACGAGTAAGTTCAAAGCCGCTTGGCACGAAGACTCGGCAAATAATTCCCATGGTGGCTGAACGATCGCAGAGCCAGAGATTTGAAGAAACTCTATGGCCTTGACGTCATCTAAGCCGCCATGCTGTGTGTCCACGGCATTACGTGCAAGCTATCAATACAGATGCATGTCTGTGTCACTGGTACTTCAACGTCGTGGAAAATTTTGGTCCGGTACTTTTGCATCGCTGCTCAGTCAAAAGTAATAGTTACGATGAACCTTTGGCGATTTACATGCGTAGTATGTGCTCAAACCATCATAAAGTAGTTACTGTTCGAATGGAAACAATCTTGCATGACTGGCTTCCACAGTTGAAGGGCAGGGATGCAGTGGTTTTGTGAGTGGAGCACCAAATTCACCTGTGGAGTGAAGCACCGAATTCACTTGACAATTCACGTACACCATTAGGTTGAACAACTTTCTTTTATTAAGGAACATTGCCTTTCCTCTTTCACGCAGAGTCGAAGATACAGACGGAGAGTTTCTGCTCATAGAGGCGGCCGACCACCTCCCGAAGTGGTTGAACCCAGAGACGAGCGAAAACCGAGTGAGTGCGTCTAGTTTACCGGCCATTCCCCCTTTTTTTTTTGGTACCTAAAGGAGGTTAACATGAACAAAGTGTTATCCACTTGAACATGTCCTACTGAGTCGTGCAGTAGGTCGTGAAATTGAGGGCGTGTGCAAATCCAGAAGGTACGTTTTCACTTCCTTGAAGTTTACTTTTGCAGTGCTTGCGTGACAGGCTCACAAGATATATTGCCAATGCTTACTGTGTCATTAAAATGCTCGCTGGAGTGCAGACAGACGTACTGTTGTCACGAGGAACCATCCGTGCAGTCGTCATCATCAGTCGACATCTCAAGGTCCTGAAAGAGCCCTGGATCTTCACCTGGGTGACGGTGCACAGCTGAGAGATGTCAGACAGTATCACTGTGGAATAAAACTTGCCCTTACTCGAAAAAGTAATCAGCTGTGGCCGATGATTTGTGCAGACAGAGTTAATCACTAAAATATGTCTCAGATTTCTCATCCTGGTGCCCCATTTGGTCGTGCGGGCTCATCAAAACCGCTTACGCGAATTCCTACTGTGTAAAGAAAAAAAAAGGAAGTCTATTTATTGATGAATTGTTGCATCTTCTTTTTTCTATGTTGTCTTTCCACAGGTGTACATCTATCGTAACAGTCTACATGTGGTGCCCCTGGAGAATGGCAAGGCCTCGGAGAATACCCGTGTTCCCAGAATCGACGATGCCATCACTATCATCAGGTCTCCGATTGCGAAGACAAAGTAAGCATGGCAGTATAGATTCTTAATTTTCACAATGACTGCTGGAATTTTTTGTGCTTTATATGAGGAAGCTTTCGTGGCCGTGCAGTAATGCATGCATTCATGAAGTTACATAACTTCTTTCTCAAGGACTATTCACGCACTGAGTTACGCTGCGATTGGAAATGAGAATGGTGTATTCGTATGTGTGTGACCCGCAAAAGTAACTGGGTCTAACAGTGCTCAAATCTTCATAACGACCTACTGTACTTGTTGGTTCACCACTCGTCAACATCGACGAAGGTCACGAGCCCTCCACTACGGCGTATTTGATTATCATATAATGGTTTTAAGATGCAATAACCCAGATATTTTGATTATTATAATAACATTATTGTTATTCTTATTATTATCATTCATCAACATTGTATTCACATCTTTTGAGCTGCAGACGTGTTTCTTGTCACTAGGCATTGTTTGTATTAAAAAACATTTTTTATTTAGCATTGTAAGCTTCTTGTATGTTGACGATGAGACATTCTGAGGACTGTAAAACGGATGAAAGAAAGCACATGCAAATAGATAACAGTCACTCAATGCCAGTGCTAAAAGTGGTGGATGAGGAAAGTCGTGTGATCCTTTGGTGTTGCCTATTTTGCAAAGGAAGTGTTAGCTTAGATGTTTCACAAAGAAAGTGTGACTTTCTTGCTCACAGGGATTTACTTTTTATCTTTTTAAAGCTCTATTAAAAATCTTATTCATTATTTTGACTGTGTTGTGGTACGCTACAGAGCATTACAGTGTGCCTTACGCTATATACCGCATTTACTTGCATAATAAACGCACGCGCATAAAATAAACGCACCCCCAACGTCAGTCATCAAAATGTGTTTATTTTTTCCTCCGCGTAATAAACGCACCCCTTACATTCATTCGCTGCAGTCCCGCTAACCGACACTTGTCGCCTCCTCACTCGCTAGATTTCTTCCATTCTTTATTACTTTGCCGACCGCCCCCCCCCCCCCCCCAACCACCTCGGCTCGCTCCCTTTGCCCCCTTGGCCCGTTGCCGCGTGCCGTATCGCTTTTCTTTCTATCTGTAATAACCGCACCCCCTACATTAATCCGCTGCAGCCCCGCTGACCTACACCTGGCGCCTCCTCACTTGTTGTAGCTCTTTCGTTTTTTATTACTTTTCCGACCCCCCTCAACCGCCTCGGCTCACTCCCTCCCCCCTTCGCTCGTTGCCGCGTGCCATATTGCACGTCCCCGTCTTATTTGTGCGCCACAGCGGGGTTCACGAGCGGAGCGAGTGTTGAGACACAGCAAGCGAGGGTCACCAAACTGCCCGCCGTTTCACCGCTGTTTCAAACTGCCCGCCGATCACCAGACTGCCCGACGTCGGCAGCTTCCTGCGAGTACCAAAATGTCCAACCACGTGCACATGATTTTCAAGCGAAGACGGCAGGATTTGCTGTCGCGAAGGGTCATTTGTCGCTATCATGTCGAAGGTTTCTGGAAAACCAGAAAAAAATCGCTTGTCGTACAGAGGAGATCTCGACGATTTCCGCAAGATGGTAGCACCCCTATTTCTTGCTTTGCTTGTTATCCTCTCGTAGAAGCACTTCTCATGAAAAAGTGAGGTGGCGGCCGTATTTTGTCATTGATCTTGTTATCGACGGTTTGTTTTGATGCTTCGGGGATAGCTTGCTGCATTGTTGGTTACTTGCTACCACGACTTCGTCGTGCTTGCTACAATGTTAACGGCGTCGTGCGAGGTCACCGCGAAGTTGGAGTAAAGTGTTACAAAGAAGCTGTTTCCAAGCAGTGTAGGCGTATGTCGATTGCAAAAGGCTAAGTGTCCTAACTTTTTTTGCATTGCCGCATTTTTCGCTCCTCCTGAAAAAGTTTTCGTAAAATTTATTCTACGTAATAAACGTACCCCCCGATTTTGCTCCGATTTCTTGAGAAAAAAAAGTGTGTTCATTACTTGAGTAAATACGGTTTACAGTATGATTTGTGCATTCTCTTTTGACCTAAAAAATACACATTGAATCTTGGGCCCCTGCAGTTGCATTTGGATGGAGGCATAATGCTAGAGGCCCATCTACTTAGATTTTGGAGTACATTGTTTAGGTTGAAATAGATTTAGATGCACAGATTTAGGTCAATATTTCCAGAGCCCGCCACTCCAGTGTATCTCATAATCACATTGCAGCTTTGTCATGTAAAATGCTAGCAAATATTATTTTATGGCCTTGTGTTTTAACTGCTGGATGGTGTGTGAGGTGGCAGGTTACCCTGAAGCCGTTACTTGCAGTTGTTTTGTTTGTGATTCTCACAACCCCGATGTTTTTGTTGCAGAATAAGCTCAATTCGTTTTTGAACAAAACGAGGCTGTCTTCATTGCTATCGCTTACAGGGCGACCCCGGCAGTGCAGAAGTCTTTGGCAGCCCGCTTACACGATGCACCTGTGAGGCATCGTGCCAGTCATCACCGGGCCCACTGCTATCTTCCAGCAGCAGCCGTGGCCTTGCTGCAAAGGGACCCTGCCTTGCTGGGGCCTGCAGTGGGAGCCTTCGTCTCACGTGACCCTCTCGATCTGAAGGCACTTAGGGCCATGAGGTGTGTGATGCTTGCTGGTGTCGAATAGAAGAAGGAAAAATAGGAGGAAAAGAACTGCAGGGAGGTTAACCGGTCTATAGGCAGCCGGCTTGCTACCCTGCACATGGGAGGGGGAGATGAAAGATTGAGAGGAGAGGGAAGAGAGATAAACACAGCACGTTAAGCAGCACACGCGGGCATGCTGGTGTCGAATAGGTTAGCCGAATGAGTAAGTAAATACACTAGGCATGGGCAGATATTCAAAGCACTTTGAGTATTTCAACGACTATTGCGGTATTGAAGTTCACTTCAACATGAACTTAAGTTACTAAAAAAAAATTTGACTCGAAACGAATGAATATTAGACTGCGTGTAGTCGCCCTGTAAAGGTGGTTTTATTGCAGTGTAGGCATACTATCCCATCAAAACACCTATTTGGGGAAAATTCACATTGCCATGAAGCCAACTTGAAGGTAAAAAAACATATTACACTTGCATTGATTAATCATTTTTTTTAGTTGAAAAACTTGTTTCATGGGCTTGCATGCTTTAAAGGGGTACTGACAGAAAAACTTTCGCTTCCCGTTTTTCTGCTGCAGTGTGTTGCTGGGGGCCTGTTAGCCATAACACCACACATCATTTGCTATAGCATGCGACAGATAATTAATTACAGGTCCCTCAATATTGACCAGTTTTGCTTTGAGAGAGCTCCAAAAACAAGAAGGCGCCGGGAGCAGCTATCGCCACCCAGCGTGGGCAACTCTTGACCACGTCAGCACAGAGAACTGTGACATGGTTCGGCATGGTCCGCATTAAGAATTACTTTGAATAGGAAATGGGACTGCAGTGTCACCAAACAAAAAACATTCAAAGCGTGCGCCACGACCCTGCACTCGCCACCAGTTGCAGAGAAACATAGAGTGCGGGAACAATTGCAGCAAAAGAAAAATTACAGCTATGACATCATCATAACTTGTTTTATTGACTCTAGTGTGAAGACGTTGCAGATGTTGGGGGTCATCTTCGAGAGTGTCAATAGCACGGTGGAGTCGAGTGCTCACGCAAACTTCAAAACTAATTTAAAATACCTTCCAAGCTATATTCGCTGTTGATATTTGCATATGATTTACAGTAAAAGCTCGTTAACCCATATGTCACTGGACCGGTGAAAATGTTTGAGTTCCGGTTTATCGAATGAACTGAATTACGGTTTATCGAATGAACCATCAAAACAATAGGAAAATGTACTCGGCATAGACAAACCTTTATTTAATGAAAAACTGCTTCAACTTAGTCTGCCTCGTCATCGGAATTGGTGCTAGAACGATCTTCTTCAACCCCATGTGGTGGTGGTGTGCACGCTTGCTGTCCCGAGAATTGACGCAGAACTCCATGAGGACAACGAGAGCTTCGGCGGCTTTTTGCGCTATGGGCTCATCTTGAATGTCATCATCGGAACAGTGATTCTGATCCTCTTCAAGCACTTCCGATATGTCATCATCAGTCAGCAAACCAGCAACGGCCACACCATCATCGACGCGCACAAACACAGATTGAGAACGTAACGACTGTTTCTAATGTCAAAGTGCCAACTCGCCCAACAGTCAACTCTTTTGATGTACCCGAGCTGCGCACGCTAAGTGCGAATACACAACGCAAAGAAATCAGCAGCGTAGGGGTCGCAGGCAACTGAGGTAACGGCGGCTGTGCAAACTGTCCTGTGCGGCGCCATGTGCAGCGCATTTCGCAGACACTGGATGCATCGGCGGCCCAAGCGCTTCCGCCGGGTGGTGACTAGCACCATCTGGCCACTTCCCCCGTCATTCACTATCATCGCGATCATATTCTGCTGCTGTTCATTTGTTTTCGGTTTCTCCGACAGTGGAGCCGGGACTTCATGCTTTCAGTAACCGTAATCGGTTACAGACAGTCTCAGAGTGCATGAGCTTCTTGGAATATGCTTTCGAGCTGTAAGGTCGCATCGACCACAGATCCGAGGAGTTGACGCCACAAGGGGTCGTCGGTAGAGGCAGCTTGAAGGCGGCGACAGTTTCCCTGAATTATTGCTTTGAGAGTTTGTACCGGGGAGGCGAACCACTGCAGCCGGTTTCGGGATGGCCAAGCGAGCGACCCAGTCCAGGCCATGTGGCTGACCCGACCAAGGAGCAGAAGCGCGAGATTAAGTTACGGTCCGTGGGCGATAATGGCCAACGCGGGTGGTGCGCCCAAAAGAGAGCGTCCCGAGAATTCTTTTACTCCTTGCTGATAGCAAGGAAGAGGGGGAGCGTGTACACCGTTTTTGTTTATGATTGTTTTTAACTGCACACGAATGTGCTGTTGGAAGACTGAACGAGGAGTTCGTCGGGTGCGGCCCGACCGGACGGTCATGCAATAAACGCTGCCTTTAACCAGGCTATGGCTCTTCCTTCGCATTGCCAGCGTGCACTTGGATCACCAAGGGGCTGTCGATACCAAAAACATCCACAACATCGGAACTTAACTCTTACCGAAAGCATGAAGCCTCGATAGCCATCTCCGGAACCGTTCGAGTTAACCGAGGCACGTCTAAGTCTCTCCGAATTAACAAGCATTTGACACCATTGAAATATGCACAGTTTTGCTGGGACCGCGACGCGTGTCCGAGTTAACCAAATTTTGGAGTTAATGAGATCCAGATAAGCGAGCTTTTACTGTTTACAAATGTTCACGGGAATCGACCCTGCAGGCTATTTTGGCGGCGAAATTTTGTGTCGGTACCCCTTTAAGTATAGCCGTCCTTGTAGTGTGTCATATTTTTACCAGTTATCACTCGCATCTTATTGAAAATCAAGTCCTGCTGCTATTCAAAGTTGTTCCCTGTTCTCATTGAACCAAAAAATGACATTTGTTTGTGTCTTGTTTCGTTTAAAAAATATTATGCAAGTTGGTTGGGCCACGACAAATGTGCTCATATACGCTATGTATTCTATTTGAATTATTTGACAAAATTGCCATTCGCTCGAACCTAGAATTTATTATTCACACATCTTTAAATTATGCTGTTTTTTTTTGTGGGGTGATTGTTGGAGTTGAACAACCATATGTGTCTCTTGCATACTGAGGTGTACTTTCTGATTGATATAATAATAATAATAATAATAATAATAATAATAATAATAATAATAATAATAATAATAATAATAATAATAATAATAATAATGTTTTGTTTTTCTTCAATAGTTTGATGGACAGCTGCAGGTAAATGCTGTTTTCCGAAAGAGGCAGCTTGACAAAGACCCACAGCTACCTTTTAGCATGACAGCAGTGGAAAACAGTCAGCAATGTGAACTCAACAACAACAAATAAATAAATGAATAAATAAAAATAAACGAAAAATATAAAAAAAAAGTTAAGTCCGAATTCCAAAAATAAAAATAGTAACGATGATAATACAGCAACTGCAAAGAAATCTTAAAAACTAAACATGTGTATATCGGGCAATTGAGTCTGTGTACAGTGTAAGAAATCTATGCCAGCTTTCACATATTCATTAAGTAACGTAGGAACTATGTAGGATAACTTATCAGCGGAGTAGTTTGTTCTCGAAGTTTTTATTTTCCATGTTTCTTTATTTCATGTTTCAAACAATGTATTTGGCTGTAGTTTTGAGAGGTCTTACAAAAAAATGTCGACTGTCTTTCAATACACGCCTGATCGCCAATGCTAACTTAAAATTGTAGAGACGATGTACGGGTAATGTTCCAGCCTGTTGAAACAATTCGCTTGTGTGAGCATCATACGACAAGTTAAAAAATGTTTCTAATATACTTCTTATGCATCAGCTACAGTTTTCGCAAGTTCGTGTAAGTTGTAGTCACCCATACCAAGAAACAATAGGTAACATGTGAATAGCAAAGTGATTTATAAAGTAAGAGTTTTGTTTTGTTCTACTATGCCTTGTATGGTAGAACAGTTTTGCCACTGTACACCATACCCACTACACGAGATAACTGACCCAGCACACTGTTAATGTGTTCGTTCCAAAGCATATTACTTGAAAATGTAACTCTAAAAGTTTTTCTACTATTTACTAGCTCAATATAAGTATCGCCATACTTGAGATGTGTGTTTTCATTAACAGGCTTACCTTTAGGTCGGAATAGTACACCCTTTGTTTTACTAGTGTTTATGTTTGAATTATTACAGCATGACCAGAGATTTAGTTTCAAGAGAAACTGGTGCATTTTTTTCTCAAGCGCGATGCTATTTTCAACTGAAACAAACATGCTGACATCATTGGCATATAAGACGTATTTAGCATCTGGATAAATACACGTTAAATCATTTATGTAGGCTATAAAAAAAGGGGTCCAAGGATGCTTCCCTGAGGTGCACCCTTAGTGATAGGTTTCAGCTCTGAGAATCTTCTATCTATTTCAACCGCTTGTTTGCAATAATTAATTTAACTTTTTATTAGGTTAGTGCATGACCACGAATTCCATAGCATTGTAACTTTTCAAACAACGTGGAATGCTGAATATTGTCGAAGGCCATACTAAAATCAACAAACATACCGAAAATGGCACGTTTGCTTTCAAATTCAGACAATATGAACTCCTTTTTAAAGGTTTTAAATTAATAATGCCATCTCATGCTTAATACAACAGTGTAGCTGCAAGAGTGACATCCCTTACATTCAAAGAGCGTACTTATAGTGTACTCCTAAAAGAAAGGACATGCTTGTGGTGTGTTTTTGATGCAACAGTAACCGTCGTCTATGCTGTGTGTGCCTTCCTTTGCATTGTGTGAGTTTATTGCTGACAACAAGTACAGGGCGTGCAAAAGGTGTGAAGAATACGGGGTAAAAGCTGCATTAACAGCAGTTGGACTAGCCGTGTCTCTCCACCATAGATCGGCAAAAATAATTGAAACTCACAAGCTATCACGAGCTCCAAAACTCGAAGACCAGTCCAATGCAGTCTAGAGGGTACGGGAGAGAGTGGAGTGGCATGGCCTTCCGGCTCCAACATGTGATTAGCCAA